CCCACCTGCACGCACCTTGACGCAGCTCAGAGGCCAGTCGGCATGACAACGCGCTCTCCAGGGCAAACCGGGAACAGCTGATGGAGGAGGAGGATGGCAGCTCAGCATGTCCAGTAACGGAACCCGCGCAGAGAAAGCAGAACCGCCGCCGGTTCGGTCCAGCTGCCGGCCATGGAGAGAGCGCGGCCCATCACGGTGAAGGTGTCCGCGGTGAGCCTGGCGCTCAGCTCGCTGTCCCTGCTGCTGCTGGTCACCGCCATCTCCACCGACCACTGGTACCAGACCGACACCCGCAGGCACAAGCAGAACTGCGACGGTTCCGACTCCAACGACCAGAAGAACCGGGAGATGCCATCTACCACCTGCCGCTGGTGGACACCGGCGGCGCCGCGGCCCGGCAGCGGGACGTGGCGCTGATGAAGCCCGTGCATGTGGGCAGCAGGGAGGAGGAGCTGCTGGAGAACTGGCGGGCCATCCTGGGATGGGCATCCTGGAGACGGAGTGCGGCAGGCCGCTGTTCTCCACGCACTCCGGCCTCTGGAGGAAGTGCTACTTCAAGGGACTGGACCCGGACATCGACAAGCTGATCGACCGGGGTGCGTGAGCCCGCACACACACACACACACACACACACAAACACACACACACACACACACACACACACACACACACACTAATAAATGCACCACGGATGGGTGGGAATGCTTCATCACGTGATCTGCTGCTGCGGATGTTCCGTTCAGACACCTGAGCTTCCTGAAGGCGTGACCCTGATGACATCACAGGAGGGGATGTCAAAGGTCACCTGATGATGTCATCGCCTCATCAATCTGTGTGTTGAAATTGAACTGGAGTGAGAAGAAGCTCAGTTTAAACTCAACCCAGTACCTGCTGGTACCAGTGAACTGGGAGGACTGGTGGGACTGGCAACCTGTCCACGGTGACAGCAGTTGAGAGCTAGTTCTGGTTCTGGTTCTGGTTCTGGTTCTCCCTGCTGGTTTTGGATTCACCAGCTGCAGCTTTCCCCTGGTTGGATGGTTTGTTCAGGTTCTGGATCTGATCCCGGTCAGACTCCTGTAGAACCCTTTTAAGAACGCCCGGCCCACAGGCCGGTCCAGACGGAGGTTCCAGAACCATCTGGGTTCCAGTTCCTGTCCAGGTGTTGAAGACGTGCAGCTGGATAATCCTGAGCTCTGACCCGATCCAACAGCGGTGGGCCAGGACGGATCAGAACCAAGGTCCTGCTGACCTGACACCAGCAGACTGGGTCCTACCGAACGCGGTGACCCGCTCCGGCAGAACCAGAACCACAGATTACATCAGCCTCCATTAGTCAGCTTAGAGCCACTGCGCATCACTATGGTTCCCATGATGCACCTGCACTCTGACCCTGAAGGTTGGCAGGTTATCAGGGAGCTTCTGCTGCTTGATGACATCATCACAGATGTGTCTCACCTGTGTGTCTGCAGGTATCGCAGATCGCTGCACAGCTGTGAAGTACCACTTCTCTCAGCCAATCAGATTTAAGGAAACATCCCTCTGAACCTGACCAGGACCATCCAGCAGGACGAGTGGCACCTGCTGCGTAAGCACACACACACACACACACACACACACACACAGACACACACACACACACACAGACACACACACACACACACACACACACACACACACACACACACCACACACACACAGACAGACACACACACACACACACACACACACAGACACACACACACACACACACACACACACACACACACACACACACACACACACAGACACACACACACACACACACACACACACACACACACACACACAGGGACAGACACACACACACACACACACACACATGCACAATGTGAAGGTTACCTGCAGGCTGATGTCACCTGAGTGACATCACTCAGCGTCAGCCTCTCATTGGCTGCTCCTTAGTCCTTACTGTATGTCGCCAGTTGCCATGGAAACATGCTACAGTGGTTATGTAACAGAAGGGGTGAGCAGAAGCTGGTTACCATGGCAACAATGTATGGATCTCTGAGCCTCATTAGAAACTAAAGACCAGAACCAGAACCAGAACCAGAACCTGAACCTGGTACTCTGAGAACTTCCTGCCTGCTCATGCAGCACAGGTCCAGATGCTCACTGCTGTGTGTGTGTGTTATATATGTGTGTGTGTGTGTTATATGTGTGTGTGTGTGTGTGTGTGTGTGTGTGTGTCCTCAGATCTGCGGCGCATCACGGCCGGCTTCCTGGGAATGGCCGCCGCCGTCCTGCTGTGCGGGAGCATCGTGGCGTCGGTCGGCTTCTTCTGGGAGGAGAGTCTGACGCAGCACGTCTCCGGCCTGCTCTTCCTGATGGCAGGTAGGGGGCGCCCCTGCTGGGGCAGCCAGGCGCTGCCGCACACCCTGAAGGTCACTGGACCGGTCAGGGCCGGACACAGAACCATGCGTACGATTACACACGGTGGAGCGTGTGTAATCGTACGCATGAGATCTGTTAAGAACCAGAACCGGACGGCGGCTCAGCAGCAGGTGATTCCAGACAAGAGGAAGAACTTTCTGTTTGCATCCCGGTTCTGTTTGATTCGCTGAAAGTCCTGAGGTTCTGACCCACTGAGGTTCTACTGGGTCATGTTCTGCTTTCAGAACCCAGGATCCTCTGTGTGTTCTGACCCAGCATTGCTTCTGTCTGCAGGGATCTTCTGCACCATTTCTCTGTGCACGTATGCAGCCAGCGTGACCTACGACCTCTCCAGGAACCCGCCCTTCATCTACGGCCTCCCGTCCGATGTGGACCACGGCTACGGGTCCATCTGCTGTGCCTGGGCCAGCCTGGGTCTGACCGTCGCCTCCGGCTGCCTCGGAACCGCCTTCCCTTTCCTCAGCCGGGCCGGCGCACTCGGATCCAAAACGGCCCGAGAATCCTCCGTGTGATCAGCCGGAACCGGCAGCGAGACTTTGGACCTCAGGTGGACAGACTCACCTATCTGTGGATCCTTTGTGTAGGTAGCGCCCCCTGGTGGAGGTAAACTAAGGAAGTGTTAAGTGAATCCAGTTGGATACTGACCACTGCAGATTTTCAGGTGATCAGCTATGACATCAGAGGTGGGCGTGGCCACACGAGATGAGGCTCCTCACAGTTTCTCCTGAGAGCTTTTATTTTGGAGGATGAGGAATGTTTTTCATTCCACTGGGTTTCCCACGACTCAGATCTGGATTTGTTAAAATCACAGCTTGTTAACACCTCTAGACCCGTTAACTAGACTCGTTAACTGACCCGTTAACTAGACTTGTTAACTGACTCATTAACTAGACTGGTTAACGTCTCTGGACTCGTTAATTTGATTCATTAATTTGTGGAGTTACTGGACTCAGTAATTCGACTCGTTAACGTTTATGGACTGTGTGTGTGAATGTGATTGGATGAAACAAACATCTCCAGTGAGCGCGCTCAGAAGTTTCAGTCTGCAGATTGAAGCGGGCCATTGGTTACTAAAGAACCGGACCTGCAGAACGAACCTGAATCTCAGCAGCTCCTGTCCAGAATTCCGTTGCTCGGGTCCGGTTCCATCAGCCCGGCCTGAAGGTGAGCAAACTGGACCTGACTGGGTCAATGGGTTGGTTGGTTCTGGTTGGAGAAGCCCAGAGATTGGTTCTGTGAACGTTGGACCACAGCCTGGATGTAAATACTGTAAATGTTCTGATCCGGTATTATTCTGCAGCTGTGTTCTGATAGTTCTGATCATTCAGCTACTGAGCCACAAACTGGAAGGAACCAATCGGACCGTACCAGTTTCGAGGTCAGAGACTTTATGGGTCAGAAAAAACTTAACTGGATTCAGTCCACTGACCACCCAGGATCTGCCTGATCCATGACGGAATCCGTTCCAGAACCCGATTGCCCAGAGACTCTCTGACCTGTTGATGTCAGCAGTAACCGATCCTCAGAGAACCACAGAACCTTGTGCTAATAACACCCGAAAACCCCCGCTGGGTTCTGCTGCCCCCGCTGGGTTCTGCTGCCCCCTGCCGGGTTCTGGATCTGCTGATGTCATTCTGAGATTTATCTGTAAATAAATGATGTAACGCCTCTATGTGACTGTGTGTCTCTGTTTCTTGCACCTAAACTGAGTAACTGCCTCTGACCTTCAGATGCCCTCTGACCTTCAGATGCCGTTTGACCGGACCGGTTCTTCACTTTGCTTTTGCGTCTTTCAGTTTCTCATGGCAGCGTTGCAGAAGGTCGGGTTCTGGTTGGGCCAGCAAATGTATGAAGTCATTCAGAGAAACATGGTTCTAGAAGATGCTGTGAGGATGATGAGCACCGACTCTTCCTCTCTCTGCTGTGGAAACCGAATCACAGACAGGAGAACCGGTCTGACGCCGAGACCATCTGCTGCTACATCCAGAGAGACCTGACGGAGACCTGATGGACACCTGACGGAGACCTGATGGAGAACCGGACTGTCAGGTTGTTTCAGTTTGATGAAGATTCACTGAACTCAAGGTTAGCTCTCTCACTGCCATGTGGCTGCAGCCAAATCCAGGCCCGGGGGCCAAATCCGGCCCACCATAGCTTCCCATGCGGTCCGGAGACTGAAGGGCAACATTGAAATCCTGGAAAATCTCCATCTCCTTGGTATGTAATCAGATGAGTTTGTCAGGGCTGCAGAAGGAGAGATGAAACATTCAGACCCGAAAACTTTACTGGTGAACTGGGAGCCGCGGCTCGGTACCAAACGAACCGAGGGTTCCGAACTGCAGTACCGCTGCCGGCCGCGCGTGCAACCTTCATCAGTGACCCGCCAATGTACGTCAGTGTTCTGCAGACAGCGCATGCGCAGGAGAGCACCGTGTTCCGCACCGCCACAGTGACAACAACCGCCGCCGTTTGGTCGGCGAGTGTCCGCCCGCCGGGCCCCGCAGCCAGACCCCGCAGCCACCCAGACCCAGTCAGGCTTTCACTGCCAGAGCAGGAGCTGCAGGATCGGAGCCCCGTCTATGAGACCCCTCGGTACCGAGCCGAGTCCACCGAACCGCCCCAGCTGCTCCCAGAGGCTCCTCTACGGTCCAGAGAGGCGGACACCGGCAGCTTCGGGCCGCCTTCCCGGAGAACCCGGGGATCCGCGCCGCTAGCAGCGCCGCAGCTAACAGGCTAACGGCACCATGGCCTCCTCCCGCTGACCCGAACCGAACCAGCGAAGGGACTTCCAGCTGCAGACCGCGGAGCTAACTTCCAGCCAAGGATGGTGGCGGGGGCCGGGTCCGCTTCGGAGGATCGTCCCGGCCCCGCCGACCCGGGGCCCGCTTCATGTAGCCCGGCCTGCCGTGCCGGTCCGGCCCGCCGCGGGGCTCCAGCAGCCGGCCCGGGCCGCAGACATGCAGGCCGCCCAGCCGCAGTACGACTTCTTCAGCGAGGACAACGCCGGGAAGTGGAGAGGCCTGCTGGTTCCGGCCCTGGAGAAGGTACCGCCGAACCGAACCGCTCTGACCCGGTTCAGTCAGGGAGGCGATAGGACCAGAAGCAGATCAGGTCCAACAAAGACACCCTGGAGTTCTTGTCCAACTCGGTCCAGGTTCTGACCCGTCCTCTGTTGTCATGGGAACGCTCAGGTTGTATCACAGTCAGCTCCCGGACTGTTCAGTGAATGGTTTCCCTGACAACCAGTGACGTCACATCACTGCATGATGTCACATAGGTAGACAGATAGGTCATGAAGCCAGTAGCTGCGGTTTCTGGTGCTTCTGGGTTCGGATCAGAACCTGGAGACGGTCAGACTTCCTGACACCTGATCAGGGTCAAACCCTGACCTTTGCTCCACAGCTGCTGACATCATCACCAGCCAGCCAATCACTGACTCCTTCCATTGGTGAATAACCTCAGAGCTGCAGCAGTGATCTCAGGTGATCTGGTTCTGGTTCTGGTTCTGGTTCTGCAGCTGGGTTAGGGTGGGCGCTGTGGATTAACCAACCAGAAAGCGCTCTGTTGGAATTGGCCCCGCCCACATGAAGGCAGAACTTGTTCACCAGAGGAAACAAGTTCCCTTTAGAACCAGAACCCAGCAGGTCCAAACAGAAACCTGTCTGTCCAGAACCAGCCCAGTTCTGGTTTTGACCGTACAGCACGCTCAAGCTTTGTGGTTCTGATCCGGTTCCTGAGGTGAGATGACTCGGGTCAGAGCGAGTTCATCCCAGACCGACGAGAAGCACAGATGTTTGTGTCGCTCCAGGATTTACTAACCTTCTGGGGACCAAAGCCAGGTCAGAGGTCAGAGGTCAGCCTCAGAAAGGGAATTAGGTTAGGCAGCATGTCTAGTTAGTCATGAATCGCAGCTAAAACCAAAGGAAGCCAAACAAACGTGTGTGTGCGTGTGTGTGTGTGTGTGTGTGTGTGTGTGTGTACAGGTGTTGTACCAGGTGCATCCTAACCTGAAGTCCCAGCAGGAGGCGCTGCAGCACATCGAGGACCTGATCCTGCAGCTGCTCAGCATGCTGTGTCAGGCTCAGCCGCGCACCGTGCAGGACGTGGAGGTGACACACACACACACACACACACACCCTCACACACACACCCACACACACACACACACACACACACACACACACACACACACACACACACGCACACACACACAACCTCACACGCACACACACACACACAACCTCACACACACACACACACCTGTCTGTAACATTGTGGGCTGAATGAAAGCTGATGACATCATCCAGTGGGCGTGGTCTTTCATTCACTCACTCTGGCTCCACCCAGTCCCTCCATCTTCCTGTCTGGTGGTGATGACAATCGCCCAATCAGCAGCTTGCAGCTGTGATGTCATCGTCAGGACTTCACAGAGCGGCTGATAGGCTGTTTCCATGGCAACCGGTCTCCAGAGAGATCCGTTCAGAGCCGATGGCCAGAACCAGAACCAGACAAACCGGACCAGCTGGAGTCACTGGGTCCAGGTCCAATAACCCCTACAGGTGAACGGTTCTCCAGAAACTCTTTAAACCTGCTGGACCCGGTTCTTTTAGAGGTTTGGGCCCAATGCTGGGTTCTGCTCACCGTACCGCTGGGTCCCTTCAGTTTGAACCTGGCAGAACTTTCTGGTTGGCTAAGGTTGACCCAGGTCAAAGGTCAGAGTAATGGTCCGGCCAGCAGGGGGCAGTAAACGCACCGTCTGAGAAGAAAAATGTGTCGGATACAGAACCTCCAGCTTGGAGTCCAGAAGACCGGTTCTGGTTCTAGCTCCGGTTCTGACCCGTCTCTCTTCAGGAGCGGGTCCAGAGGAGTTTTCCTCACCCTATCGATAAGTGGGCGATCGCCGACGCGCTGGCCGCCATCGAGAAGAAGAAGAGGAAGAACCCGCTGGCACTTCCTGTCGACAAGATCCACCCACTGCTAAAGGTACGCTGCTCTTCATCCTCCTCCTCATCCTCCTCTTCTTCATCTTCTTCATCCTCATCCTCCTCTTCTTCATCCTCCTCATCCTCTTCTTCCTCTTCTTCATCCTCCTCTTCCTCTTCTTCATCCTCCTCATCCTCCTCTTCCTCATCCTCCTCTTCTTCATCCTCCTCTTCTTCACGCTTCTCTTCCTCATCCTCCTCTTCTTCATCCTCATCTTCCTCATCCTCCTCTTCTTCATCCTCATCTTCCTCATCCTCCTCTTCCTCATCCTCCTCATCCTCCTCTTCTTCATCCTCATCTTCCTCATCCTGCTCTTCCTCATCCTCTTCATCCTCCTCTTCCTCGTCCTCCTCTTCCTCATCCTCCTCTTCCTCGTCTTCCTCATCCTCATCCTCCTCTTCTTAACGCTTCTCTTCCTCATCCGCCTCTTCTTCATCCTCATCTTCCTCATCCTCCTCTTCTTCATCCTCATCTTCATCCTCATCCTCCTCTTCTTCATCCTCCTCATCCTCATCCTCCTCTTCTTCATCCTCCTCTTCCTCTTCTTCATCCTCCTCATCCTCCTCTTCTTCACGCTTCTCTTCCTCATCCTCCTCTTCTTCATCCTCATCTTCCTCATCCTGCTCTTCCTCATCCTCTTCATCCTCCTCTTCCTCGTCCTCCTCTTCCTCATCCTCTTCCTCGTCTTCCTCATCCTCATCCTCCTCTTCTTAACGCTTCTCTTCCTCATCCTCCTCTTCTTCATCCTCATCCTCCTCATCCTCCTCTTCTTCACGCTTCTCTTCCTCATCCTCCTCATCTTCATCCTCATCTTCCTCATCCTTCATCCTCCTCTTCCTCATCTTCTTCATCCTCATCCTCCTCCTCCTCCTTCTTCATCCTCATCTTCCTCATCCTCCTCTTCTTCATCCTCATCTTCCTCATCCTGCTCTTCCTCATCCTCTTCATCCTCCTCTTCCTCGTCCTCCTCATCCTCATCCTCCTCTTCTTAACGCTTCTCTTCCTCATCCTCCTCTTCTTCATCCTCATCCTCCTCATCCTCCTCTTCTTCACTCTTCTCTTCCTCATCCTCCTCATCTTCATCCTCATCTTCCTCATCCTCATCCTCTTCATCCTCCTCTTCCTCATCTTCTTCATCCTCATCTTCCTCATCCTCCTCTTCTTCATCCTCATCTTCCTCATCCTCATCTTCCTCATCCTCCTCTTCTTCATCCTCATCTTCCTCATCCTGCTCTTCCTCATCCTCTTCATCCTCCTCTTCCTCATCCTCAACCTCCTCTTCCTCGTCTTCCTCATCCTCATCCTCCTCATCCTCCTCTTCTTCATCCTCATCCTCCTCATCCTCCTCTTCTTCATCCTCATCCTCCTCATCCTCCTCTTCTTCATCCTCATCCTCCTCTTCTTCACGCTTCTCTTCCTCATCCTCCTCAACTTCATCCTCATCTTCCTCATCCTGCTGTTCCTCATTCTCACTCCTCTTCCTCCTCTTCTTCATCCTCACCTCCTCATCCTCCTCTTCTTCATCCTCATCCTCCTCTTCTTCATCCTCATCTTCCTCATCCTCCTCTTCTTCATCCTCCTCTTCCTCCTCCTCCTCCCCCTGCAGGAGGTGCTGGGCTATAAACTCGATCATCAGGTCTGTGTCTACATGGTCGCCGTTCTGGAGTATATCTCGGCAGACATCTTGAAGCTGGGGGAATTACGTCAGGAACATCCGCCATGATGACATCACCAAGCAGGACATCACTGTGGCGATGTGCGCCGACAAGGTGAGCAGTTGAAACTTAGAACTGACATTCGTTTTGGGCTTTTTGTGGTGCAAAGGTCAAAGGTTAGATGAGAACATAAACGACTGAGGAGTCTGGATGACGAAGAGATTTCTCAGCAGTTATGGAGGAAGAAGACGAAGAGGAGGGAGCTGGTCATACTGCAGGACGGCAGCCATGTTCACTATTTATTGATCCGTTCTGACAGGAAGTGACGATGACTCCAACGTTTCTGAGCTGGAGAAACGACGAAGAGTCGCCTCCAAATCCCTGAATGCAGTGAACAGTAATAAAACACAGAAAGGTCATTTGGTGCAAACTGCTGTATCCATGTAACGATGAGCACAGGGCTTTCCTAAAACAAAACTTTCATAAAAAACGGAATTGATAATTGGTGTTCAAAGGACCAATGAGAGATGAGCGATTTTCCCTGATGATGTCACAATGTTTTAATGGGTCGGATCAGAGCGGGCTTTTGGGCCGGTCTAACCTCCAGGTGACCTTGCAGGTTCTGATGGACATGTTCCACCAGGACGAGGAGGACATGGGTCTGTTCCCGCTGCTGGACGAGGAGCCGTCGGCCAATGAGGAGCAGCGATACTGCGACCTGGTCCGGAGCTTCCTGGCTGATGGACACCAGTACCTGAGGCAGCTGCACCTGCTGCTCAAGGTGTTCAGGGAGCCCTTCGCCTCCTGCCCCACACTCTTCCCCACTCAGGTACGGCTCTGTTGGTTCCGGTCCAGGTTCAGGTTCTGACCTGGTTCCGGTTCTGACCTGGTTCCCTGTTCCCCAGGACGTGGATAGCATCTTTGGCCGCCTGGTGGACATCCAGGAAGTGACGGTGAAGCTGCTGGGCCTGCTGGAGGACACAGTGGAGATGACGGACGAGAGCAGCCCCCACCCACTGGTGGGCAGCTGCTTTGAGGACCTGGCAGAGGTGAGTTCACCTGGAGCCGCTCACCTGGAGCCGCTCACCTGGAGCCGCTCACCTGGAGCCGCTCACCTGGTGGCTCCTGGCACATCTGTCCTCTGTTTGACAGGAGTTGGCCTTCGATCCCTATGAGGCGTATGCTCAGGAAGTCCTGCATCCTGCCTTCCATGATCACTTCCTGGATCTAGTGACCAAACCTGGAGCCTCTGCCCATCTACAGGTAAGTCCAGTCACACCTGGGGGCGCTTCATCTGACAGGTCCCACAATGATGATGAAGTTCTGACATGAGTGCGAACCGGACCTGCAGTTCGGGCCAGCCAAGTCTCTGGAACCCGCATGCTATCATGCCTCCAACCGGTCTAGCCTTTAGCTAGCAGCGCTAACGGCTGTGGAGCTAGCAGCGCTAACGGCTGTGGAGCTAGCAGCGCTAACGGCTGTGGAGCTAGCAGTGGCTTCCTCTTTTCTTATTGGGACGGGGTCCCTTTAAATAAAAAACGATGATGATGATGATACTGATGAAGATGGACCTCTTCATCCTCTGTTCCAGTCCATCTGCGAGGGATTTAAAGACGCCGTTCGCTACGTCCTGCCCAGGCTGCTGCTGACCCCCGTCTACCACTGCCTACACCTGCTGGACACATTGAAGGTCACACACACCCTCCTCCACCTCTCTCTCTCCTCCACCTCTCTCTCTCTCTCCTCCACCTCTCTCTCTCCTCCACCTCTCTCTCTCTCCTCCACTCTCTCTCTCTCTCTCCTCCACCTCTCTCTCTCTCCACCTCTCTCTCTCTCTCCTCCACCTCTCTCTCTCCTCCACCTCTCTCTCTCTCCTCCACCTCTCTCTCTCTCTCCTCCACCTCTCTCTCTCTCCTCCACCTCTCTCTCTCTCCTCCACCTCTCTCTCTCTCTCCTCCACCTCTCTCTCTCCTCCACCCCTCTCTCTCTCTCCTCCACCTCTCTCTCTCTTTCTTCCACCTCTCTCTCTCTCTCCTCCACCTCTCTCTCTCTCCTCCACCTCTCTCTCTCTTTCTTCCACCTCTCTCTCTCTCCTCCTCCCCCTCTCTCTCTCTCCTCCACCTCTCTCTCTCCTCCACCCCTCTCTCTCTCTCCTCCACCTCTCTCTCTCTCTCTTCCACCTCTCTCTCTTTCTTCCACCTCTCTCTCTCTCTCCTCCACCTCTCTCTCTCCTCCACCTCTCTCTCAGATGGACCCTTGGTTCTGTTGTTCTACTCGGTCAGAACTCTTCCAGAACCAGTCAGTGATCCCGTTGGTTCTGGTGGTTCTGGTGTCCAGTTGGGCCGGGACCTGCAGGTCCGGTTGGTGGTTCTGGTCCTGCTGGCCCCACGCTGTACCTGTGCAGGTGGCCCTGACTCGGGTGTGTTTCCATAGCAACTGGAGGAGCGCAGCGAGGATGAGGAGGATAAGGAGTGCCTTCGTCAGGCCATCACGGCGCTGCTCAACCTGCAGAGCAGCTTGGAGAGGATTTGCTCCAGGAGCCTGGCCAAGCGGAGGCTCAGGTAGGTCAAGTCATGTTGACACACACATTTATACACCGATATGCAGATCGGTAGGCAGTTTGGGGTAAAGTGCCTTGCCCCAGGGCACATCGACATGTGACTGGAGGAAGTTGGAATCTCACCTACAACCTTCTGATGGCAAGACAACTACTGGCCTTCTCTGGATAAACTGAAACACACAGGTGAAGCCCAGCTGGATGGGTCAGCTAACCCCTAGCTCTCTGCTACGCTGCAGCTAGCATAGCCCGCTATTGATGCTAAGGCTAGTTAGCACACCCACTGACAACAGTGGGTAAGCGGTTTCTGCCAGAAAGTTGGTGGTAATTTTTGTATTTTTTATTACAATGTGCCATTATGACACATGAGCATGCATTAGTTTTAAAACCATGAAAGAGACTTTTAGAAAATAATTAGCAGAAACACCGAGCCCTTAAAATCGAGTCAATGGGAACATGTCTTGCATGCCCCGCCCTTGGGCCCCCCCGCCCTTGGGCCCCCCGCCCTTGTGCCCCGCCCTTGGGGGCTCCGCCCTTGGGCCCCTGCGTGTTCCTGTGAGTTCAGGCATAAAAAAAATCTTGGACTCAAGAACTGTACAAAATAAAAAGTTTCAAACAAAAATGAGTGATCTAACTAAAAAAAACAAACTTTGTTTTTAGACATACAGATGCACACAATGAAACATGAGGGCAGGTGTGAGGCAGTCACACTGATGAACTTTACTAATTGTTTTGTTTAAAGAAATAATGCTTTCAATTTTAATGAGATATAAAAAAATATTTTAATCCAAAAGTTTTGATCAGAGCTCAATTTGTTAGACATAATTTTTTTGATGGAATAATTGTAAAATAAATTTTAGTGTTAGAATTGAACAGGATCAGAATAGTGATTGGTGCGATGGAGTGAACGCATCATCACACCAGGAGCCTCATGTTGACCCTGAGCCTCATGTTGACCCTGAGCCTCATGTTGACCTTTCAACCCGCTCTGGCTGGCATCACTACCCACTCTTTGGTTGCCTAGCAACAACCTCAATCCCAGCTGGAGGGACAACTGATTTCAGATATTTCAATCTAACTAATCAATCGTTATCAATATGGAGCGATATGAATGCTGCAGTAAAGCTATCGTTAGCACATGAACCCTCGTGGTGCGTTTAAAGACGGCTCAGAAAAACACGTTGCCGTAGTCAGCCGCCGATGAAATCGTTCAGCTGCTAAAATAGAATAGACAGTGGGACACGAGGAGGACATGTCCAACATGTCTCTCTGGTCCCCTCTGACCGGTCGCTCTGTCTGCTCTTCCCCAGCGAGCCGGCCTGCCGCCTCCACAGCCAGCAGGTGAAGAGCAAACACCTGGCCATCAGGAGGATGAAGGACGTCCAGCGGAGCATCGACGGCTGGGAGGGGACGGACATCGCCCAGTGCTGTAACGAGTTCATCATGGAGGGCACGTTGAGCCGCGTCGGTGCCAAACACGAGCGCCACATCTTCCTGTTCGACGGACTGATGATCAGCTGCAAGGCCGGCCACGCGCCGCCGCGGCTGCCCGGCGCCGCCGCCGCCGAGTTCCGCCTCAAGGAGAAGTTTCTGATGCGGAAGGTCCGGGTGGTGGACCGGGATGACCGGGACGGCGAGTGGCGGCACGCCTTCGAGGTGGCGCCGAAAGACGGCGGCGGCGTGCTGTTCGCCGCCAAGTCGGCGGAGGAGAAGAACGGCTGGATGGCGGCGCTGGTGTCGCTGCAGTACCGCGGCACGCTGGAGCGCATGCTGGACCAGGCGCTGCTGCAGGACGAGGAGCAGCAGATGCGGCTGCCGTCGGTCCAGCTGTACCGCTTCGCCGAACCCGACTCGGACCAGAACGTTGTGTTTGAGGACAGCGTCCAGTCCAAGTCTGGCATCCCCGTCATTAAAGCCGGGACGGTCCTGAAGCTCATCGAGAGGCTCACCTTCCACCTGTATGCAGGTGAGTGTAGGCAGAACTTTCCACGTTTTTAACCGTTTGGACCGACCAACGACTATGATTAGCATAATCCGCATAATCCGCTATGCAACCACATAACACCGAAAACGGGAAGGATGACCGCCAGCCTTCTGTTCCATAGCAACGTCTCTGGACTCCTAGGAGGGGTTAGCTTCCGCTAAAGTAGCCAGTAGCCACTTTAGCAGAAGCTATTTCAGTTGAAGCTACTTTAGCGGAAGCTAGTTTAGAAAAAGCTACTTTAGCAGAAGCTACTTTAGCAGAAGCTTTAGAAAAAGCTACTTTAGCAGAAGCTACTTTAGCAGAAGCTACTTTAGCAAAAGCTACTTTAGAAAAAGCTACTTTAGCAGAAGCTACTTTAGCAGAAGCTACTTTAGAAAAAGCTACTTTAGCAGAAGCTACTTTAGAAAAAGCTACTTTAGCAGAAGCTACTTTAGAAAAGCTACTTTAGCAGAAACTACTTTAGCAGAAGCTACATTAGCGGAAGCTACTTTAGCAGAACCTTTGGCAGAAGCTACTTTAGCGAAACTACTTTAGCAGAAGCTACTTTAGCAGAAACTACATTAGCAGAAGCTACTTTAGCGGAAACAACTTTAGCAGAAGCTACTTTAGAAAAAGCTACTTTAGCAGAAGTTACATTAGCGGAAGCTACTTTAGCAGAAGCTACTTTAGCGGAAGCTACTTTAGCGGAAGATACATTAGCGGATGCTACTTTAGCAGAAGCTACTTTAGCAGAAGCTACTTTAGAAAAAGCTACTTTAGCAGAAACTACTTTAGCAGAAGCTACTTTAGCGAAGCTACTTTAGAAAAAGCTACTTTAGCAGAAGCTACTTTAGCAGAACCTACTTTAGCAGAAGCTACTTTAGCGGAAACTACTTTAGCAGAAGCTACTTTAGAAAAAGCTACTTTAGCAGAAGCTACTTTAGAAAAAGCTACTTTAGCAGAAGCTACTTTAGAAAAGCTACTTTAGCAGAAGCTACTTTAGAAAAAGCTACTTTAGCAGAAGCTACTTTAGAAAAGCTACTTTAGCAGAAGCTACTTTAGAAAAAGCTACTTTAGCAGAAGCTACTTTAGCAGAAGCTACTTTAGCGGAAACTACTTTAGCAGAAGCTACTGTAGCAGAAGCTACTTTAGCGGAAGCTACTTTAGCGGAAGCTACATTAGCGGAAGCTACTTTAGCAGAAGCTACTGTAGCAGAAGCTACTTTAGCAGAAGCTACTTTAGAAAAAGCTACTTTAGAAAAAGCTACTTTAGCAGAAGCTACTTTAGCAGAAACTACTTTAGCAGAAGCTACTTTAGAAAAAGCTACTTTAGAAAAGCTACTTTAGCAGAAGCTACTTTAGCGGAAACTACTTTAGCAGAAGCTACTTTAGAAAAAGCTACTTTAGCAGAAGCTACTTTAGAAAAAGCTACTTTAGCAGAAGCTACTTTAGAAAAAGCTACTTTAGCAGAAGCTACTTTAGAAAAGCTACTTTAGCAGAAGCTACTTTAGAAAAAGCTACTTTAGCAGAAACTACTTTAGCAGAAGCTACTTTAGAAAAGCTACTTTAGCAGAATTTACTTTAGAAAAAGCTACTTTAGCAGAAGCTACTTTAGCAGAAACTACTTTAGCAGAAGCTACGTTAGCAGAAGCTACTTTAGAAAAAGCTACTTTAGCAGAAGCTACTTTAGCAGAAGCTACTTTAGCGGAAGCTACTGTAGCGGAAACTACTTTAGCAGAAGCTACTTTAGAAAAAGCTACTTTAGCAGAAGCTACTTTAGCAGAAGCTACTTCAGCAGAAGCTACTTTAGAAAAAGCTACTTTAGCAGAAGCTACTTTAGAAAAAGCTACTTTAGCAGAAGCTACTGTAGCAGAAGCTACTTTAGAAAAAGCTACTTTAGAAAAAGCTACTTTAGCAGAAGCTACTTTAGCAGAAACTACTTTAGCAGAAGCTACTTTAGAAAAAGCTACTTTAGCAGAAGCTACTTTAGCAGAAGCTACTTTAGCGGAAACTACTTTAGCAGAAGCTACTTTAGAAAAAGCTACTTTAGCAGAAGCTACTTTAGAAAAAGCTACTTTAGCAGAAGCTACTTTAGAAAAGCTACTTTAGCAGAAGCTACTTTAGAAAAAGCTACTTTAGCAGAAGCTACTTTAGCAGAAGCTACTTTAGAAAAGCTACTTTAGCAGAATTTACTTTAGAAAAAGCTACTTTAGCAGAAGCTACTTTAGCGGAAACTACTTTAGCAGAAGCTACGTTAGCAGAAGCTACTTTAGAAAAAGCTACTTTAGCAGAAGCTACTTTAGCGGAAGCTACTTTAGCAGAAGCTACTTTAGCGGAAGCTACTGTAGCGGAAACTACTTTAGCAGAAGCTACTTTAGAAAAAGCTACTTTAGCAGAAGCTACTTTAGCAGAAGCTACTTCAGCAGAAGCTACTTTAGAAAAAGCTACTTTAGCAGAAGCTACTTTAGAAAAAGCTACTTTAGCAGAAGCTACTTTAGCAGAAGCTACTTTAGCAGAAGCTACTTTAGCGGAAACTACTTTAGCAGAAGCTACTTTAGCAGAAGCTACTTTAGAAAAAGCTACTTTAGCAGAAGCTACTTTAGCGGAAGCTACTTTAGCGGAAGCTACTTTAGCGGAAACTACTTTAGCAGAAGCTACTTTAGAAAAAGCTACTTTAGCAGAAGCTACTTTAGCAGAAGCTAATCTAGAAAAAGCTACTTTAGCAGAAGCTACTTTAGAAAAAGCTACTTTAGAAAAAGCTACTTTAGCGGAAGCTACTTTAGCGGAAACTACTTTAGCAGAAGCTACTTTAGCAGAAGCTACTTTAGCAGAAGCTACTTTAGCAGAAGCTACTTTAGCGGAAGCTACTTTAGCGGAAACTACTTTAGCAGAAGTTACTTTAGAAAAAGCTACTTTAGCAGAAGCTACTTTAGCAGAAGCTAATCTAGAAAAAGCTACTTTAGCAGAAGCTACTTTAGAAAAAGCTACTTTAGCGGAAGCTACTTTAGCGGAAACTACTTTAGCAGAAGCTACTTTAGCAGAAGCTACTTTAGCGGAAACTACTTTAGCAGAAGCTACTTTAGAAAAAGCTACTTTAGCAGAAGCTACTTTAGCGGAAGCTACTTTAGCGGAAGCTACTTTAGCGGAAACTACTTTAGCGGAAACTACTTTAGCAGAAGCTACTTTAGAAAAAGCTACTTTAGCAGAAGCTACTTTAGCAGAAGCTAATCTAGAAAAAGCTACTTTAGCAGAAGCTACTTTAGAAAAAGCTACTTTAGAAAAAGCTACTTTAGCGGAAGCTACTTTAGCGGAAACTACTTTAGCAGAAGCTACTTTAGCAGAAGCTACTTTAGCAAAAGCTACTTTAGCAGAAGCTACTTTAGCGGAAGCTACTTTAGCGGAAGCTACTTTAGCGGAAACTACTTTAGCAGAAGCTACTTTAGAAAAAGCTACTTTAGCAGAAGCTAATCTAGAAAAAGCTACTTTAGCAGAAGCTACTTTAGAAAAAGCTACTTTAGAAAAAGCTACTTTAGCAGAAGCTACTTTAGCAGAAACTACTTTAGCAGAAGCTACTTTAGAAAAAGCTACTTTAGAAAAAGCTACTTTAGCAGAAGCTACTTTAGCAGAAGCTACTTTAGCGGAAACTACTTTAGCAGAAGCTACTTTAGAAAAAGCTACTTTAGCAGAAGCTACTTTAGAAAAAGCTACTTTAGCAGAAGCTACTTTAGAAAAGCTACTTTAGCAGAAGCTACTTTAGAAAAAGCTACTTTAGCAGAAGCTACTTTAGCAGAAGCTACTTTAGAAAAGCTACTTTAGCAGAATTTACTTTAGAAAAAGCTACTTTAGCAGAAGCTACTTTAGCAGAAACTACTTTAGCAGAAGCTACGTTAGCAGAAGCTACTTTAGAAAAAGCTACTTTAGCAGAAGCTACTTTAGCAGAAGCTACTTTAGCGGAAGCTACTGTAGCGGAAACTACTTTAGCAGAAGCTACTTTAGAAAAAGCTACTTTAGCAGAAGCTACTTTAGCAGAAGCTACTTCAGCAGAAGCTACTTTAGAAAAAGCTACTTTAGCAGAAGCTACTTTAAAAAGCTACTTTAGCAGAAGCTACTGTAGCAGAAGCTACTTTAGAAAAAGCTACTTTAGAAAAAGCTACTTTAGCAGAAGCTACTTTAGCAGAAACTACTTTAGCAGAAGCTACTTTAGTAAAAGCTACTTTAGCAGAAGCTACTTTAGCAGAAACTACTTTAGCGGAAACTACTTTAGCAGAAGCTACTTTAGAAAAAGCTACTTTAGCAGAAGCTACTTTAGAAAAAGCTACTTTAGCAGAAGCTACTTTAGAAAAGCTACTTTAGCAGAAGCTACTTTAGAAAAAGGTACTTTAGCAGAAGCTACTTTAGCAGAAGCTACTTTAGAAAAGCTACTTTAGCAGAATTTACTTTAGAAAAAGCTACTTTAGCAGAAGCTACTTTAGCGGAAACTACTTTAGCAGAAGCTACGTTAGCAGAAGCTACTTTAGAAAAAGCTACTTTAGCAGAAGCTACTTTAGCGGAAGCTACTTTAGCAGAAGCTACTTTAGCGGAAGCTACTGTAGCGGAAACTACTTTAGCAGAAGCTACTTTAGAAAAAGCTACTTTAGCAGAAGCTACTTTAGCAGAAGCTACTTCAGCAGAAGCTACTTTAGAAAAAGCTACTTTAGCAGAAGCTACTTTAGAAAAAGCTACTTTAGCAGAAGCTACTTTAGCAGAAGCTACTTTAGCAGAAGCTACTTTAGCGGAAACTACTTTAGCAGAAGCTACTTTAGCAGAAGCTACTTTAGAAAAAGCTACTTTAGCAGAAGCTACTTTAGCGGAAGCTACTTTAGCGGAAGCTACTTTAGCGGAAACTACTTTAGCAGAAGCTACTTTAGAAAAAGCTACTTTAGCAGAAGCTACTTTAGCAGAAGCTAATCTAGAAAAAGCTACTTTAGCAGAAGCTACTTTAGAAAAAGCTACTTTAGAAAAAGCTACTTTAGCGGAAGCTACTTTAGCGGAAACTACTTTAGCAGAAGCTACTTTAGCAGAAGCTACTTTAGCAGAAGCTACTTTAGCAGAAGCTACTTTAGCGGAAGCTACTTTAGCGGAAACTACTTTAGCAGAAGTTACTTTAGAAAAAGCTACTTTAGCAGAAGCTACTTTAGCAGAAGCTAATCTAGAAAAAGCTACTTTAGCAGAAGCTACTTTAGAAAAAGCTACTTTAGCAGAAGCTACTTTAGCAGAAGCTAATCTAGAAAAAGCTACTTTAGCAGAAGCTACTTTAGAAAAAGCTACTTTAGAAAAAGCTACTTTAGCGGAAGCTACTTTAGCGGAAACTACTTTAGCAGAAGCTACTTTAGCAGAAGCTACTTTAGCAGAAGCTACTTTAGCAGAAGCTACTTTAGCGGAAGCTACTTTAGCGGAAACTACTTTAGCAGAAGTTACTTTAGAAAAAGCTACTTTAGCAGAAGCTACTTTAGCAGAAGCTAATCTAGAAAAAGCTACTTTAGCAGAAGCTACTTTAGAAAAAGCTACTTTAGCGGAAGCTACTTTAGCGGAAACTACTTTAGCAGAAGCTACTTTAGCAGAAGCTACTTTAGCGGAAACTACTTTAGCAGAAGCTACTTTAGAAAAAGCTACTTTAGCAGAAGCTACTTTAGCGGAAGCTACTTTAGCGGAAACTACTTTAGCGGAAACTACTTTAGCAGAAGCTACTTTAGAAAAAGCTACTTTAGCAGAAGCTACTTTAGCAGAAGCTAATCTAGAAAAAGCTACTTTAGCAGAAGCTACTTTAGAAAAAGCTACTTTAGAAAAAGCTACTTTAGCGGAAGCTACTTTAGCGGAAACTACTTTAGCAGAAGCTACTTTAGCAGAAGCTACTTTAGCAAAAGCTACTTTAGCAGAAGCTACTTTAGCGGAAGCTACTTTAGCGGAAGCTACTTTAGCGGAAACTACTTTAGCAGAAGCTACTTTAGAAAAAGCTACTTTAGCAGAAGCTACTTTAGCAGAAGCTAATCTAGAAAAAGCTACTTTAGCAGAAGCTACTTTAGAAAAAGCTACTTTAGAAAAAGCTACTTTAGCGGAAGCTACTTTAGCGGAAACTACTTTAGCAGAAGCTACTTTAGCAGAAGCTACTTTAGCAAAAGCTACTTTAGCGGAAGCTACTTTAGCGGAAGCTACTTTAGCGGAAACTACTTTAGCAGAAGCTACTTTAGAAAAAGCTACTTTAGCAGAAGCTACTTTAGCAGAAGCTAATCTAGAAAAAGCTACTTTAGCAGAAGCTACTTTAGAAAAAGCTACTTTAGAAAAAGCTACTTTAGCGGAAGCTACTTTAGCGGAAACTACTTTAGCAGAAGCTACTTTAGCAGAAGCTACTTTAGCAAAAGCTACTTTAGCAGAAGCTACTTTAGCGGAAGCTACTTTAGCGGAAGCTACTTTAGCGGAAACTACTTTAGCAGAAGCTACTTTAGAAAAAGCTACTTTAGCAGAAGCTACTTTAGCAGAAGCTAATCTAGAAAAAGCTACTTTAGCAGAAGCTACTTTAGAAAAAGCTACTTTAGAAAAAGCTACTTTAGCGGAAGCTACTTTAGCGGAAACTACTTTAGCAGAAGCTACTTTAGCAGAAGCTACTTTAGCAAAAGCTACTTTAGCGGAGCTCCTGGATTAACCGTCTTAAGATTCAGTTATTATATTTCTCCTAAAATGTTTACTATTAGTATTAAGAAATGAGCTTTCTCAGCAATATTGATTGATCAATCGTATTAATTATTGGTGCAGCATTGTCTTTAATGACCTTTGGGCTCTTAATGCGTCACCACCCAGTCTGGGACAGTTCAGCCTGGAAACGGGTTGGTAGGAAGACCTCCTGATGGGAGCTGGTTCAGAACTGATTCTCCAGAACCTCTGAAGCCACGCTCGAAATCAGAACCAGCCATGTTTCCTGTTTCCACAGATCCAAACTTTGTCCGGACCTTTCTGACCACGTACCGGTCCTTCTGCCGGCCTGGGGAGCTGCTAGACCTGCTGGTGGAGAGGTGGGTTCATCTGGCCTCTTGGGCCAATCAGAACCTCCATAACTCAGACCAGGAAGTGACATCACACTGACAGCAGGCGTCAGCTGAGTCTGAACCCAGTCTTCCTCTGAAGTGGTTCTGGTCCAGAGTTTGTGCTACACCTTTGTGTTCATTTGACAGACAGCATTAAAATCACTCATGTTCTGTTTTTCCCCATAAATTACAATCATATTAGTATCAGGTTATGCAGCGTTTCAGTCAATATTCAGCTGGTTGAACCTGAATCCAGATGTTGTCACACATAAAGCAGATGAAGCATCTAAAACCTGCGGAGGCCCATAACTTAGAATCCGTCAAATGAAGTGACTCCATGTAAATGAGCCTCATTCCAGTCTGAAGGCTCAGCCTCACTAAATCCTCCTGGCCTGCAGAGAATCTGCGCTGGATCATCGATCACTTGATCAGTCTGATCCAAACCGATCAGTTGAACCTTTTTACCCGGTGCGGTCCGGTTTGCGCTTTTACTGGATTTTTATTTGCGGCGTTGCTTCTCTGAAACGGACTGATGTTCCATGTGCCGCGGCGCCGCCGGGTTAGGAGGGAAACGTCTCCAGCTCCGGTCGTTCAAACCCAGGATGAGTTCAGTTCTGCAGCCACTGCGCATGGTACCGTCTAATTGGTACCGTCTAATTGGTACCGTCTAATGAACTTCTGCACCGTCATTTATTTCCTCAAGATAAACTGCCGGCTCCTGTTGGAATATTACTGCATCAGCTCAACGTTGCATCTCTTTAGTTTCTCTGCTCTGGAATTAAAGGCCTCATTTCTACCAAAGGTTTTTAAAGCTCTTCCTCAGCAGACGCTCCGAGGCGTCCGGTCCGTAACCCTTCAACCCGCCGTCAGCTCCGCTCAGAAACGCGCATTGAGTTCAGAGTCCATGATATTCAGAAAGGAAGTTTCACTGATTGACTTTAGTTCCTCTGCAATGAACTGTTTGCTTCATGTCTGGCCACCAATCAGAGACGTTATTAGAATCTGTCCAATGACCGACGGGCTTCAAGTTTCCCTGCCGTTTACAAAATAACTGGTCAGATACGGAGAACATCCCTTTAACGAGACCTATATAAATGTATTTTAAATATCTAGATAAATATTGTTCCTTCACTGATTAAATCCTGGCGGATTAGAGGCTAACAGCTTCATTAGCTTAGCTACAGACTAACGGGTCGATTGCCACCGACGTCTTGAAGAAAACCAGGGTTATAAATTGACGCCCTTTCTTCTGGTCGTTCTTTTTTAAACCTGGTTTAATTATGTTTTAGGCAGCTGGTTATTATCTTTCTCTACTGACTGCTAAACACCGTCCAGCGCCAAGCAGGAACAAACCATTTCATGTAGAAATGAGGGGGGGTCACTAAATATGGACGCTGGTCTTCTGGTCTGGGAGGAGGAACGTTTAACTCTCACTGCAAGAAAAAACAACGATGCCGTTCATTTTATGAGTGACGGGCAACAAAAGGGTTTTTTGTGTTGAAAAAGACGTTGTTGTGGGGCCCCCTAGTGGTCAGATCCTGATTTTCCCTCCTATGAGAAACACTCGGTTCTGGTCCTGGACCTGGTTCTAGTTTTGGCCCGGTTCGAAAGCTGGTCTGTGTCTGCAGATTCGACATTCCTGAGCCGGTGCCGGCCGAATCGGACGCCATGGACGGGTTGGAGCAGCTACTCAGCGCCGACCTCAAACGGTTCCGTAAAGAGTTTGTTCAGCCGGTCCAGCTCAGGTACAGAGCTCCTTCTGGCGGTCCTGGTCCTGGTCATGATCCTGGTTCTGATGTGCAGCTCGTGTCGTCCTGCAGGGTTCTGAACGTCTGCCGCCACTGGGTGGAGCATCACTTCTACGACTTCGAACGAGACCCGGGTCTGCTGAGCCGACTGGAGGACTTTATCGCTTCAGTCAGAGGTCGGTGCCGGTCCAATACCCGATCCAGAACCAGAACGAACACTAACACCTACAGAACCAAAACTAGACCCAGAACAGTGCTGACCCACCTCCTGCTGCAGGTCTGACCCGTTTACCTGGATCCACTCAGGAAATGGGCCTGGACCCAGAGTGGACCCGGACTTGGACCTGACTTGATTAGACCTGGACTTGGACCTGTTCAGAACCCAAAGGTTGTACCTGTACTAGAAGACGCTGTCCCTTTAAGACAGCTTTACTTCCTTCCTGGGTTTTATTTCAGAATCCTGAACAGTGATTGGTCAGCAGGGAGACGGGGAGCGCCCCCTGCTGGGCGCCACGCTGACCTGGTTCTAGATAACAGACTTTCAGCTGGTTCTGTTGGTGCCTCTCAACCTGACTGCTGGTGTCTGGTGAGCGGTTCTGTGGACCCGGTCCGGTCCGGTCCGGTGAGCGGTTCTGTGGACCCGGTCCGGTCCGGTCCGGTCCGGTGAGCGGTTCTGTGGACCCGGTCCGGTCCGGTCCGGTGAGCGGTTCTGTGGACCCGGTTCGGTCCGGTCCGGTGAGCGGTTCTGTGGACCCGGTTCGGTCCGGTCCGGTGAGCGGTTCTGTGGACCCGGTCCGGTCCGGTCCGGTGAGCGGTTCTGGTTGTGTTGCAGGGAAAGCCATGAGGAAATGGGTGGAGTCCATCACTAAGATCATCCAGAGGAAGCAGCAGGTGCAGGTGAGCCAGGTGAGCCCCCCCCCCAGCATCACCTTCCAGAACTCGCCCCCCCCCATCGAGTGGCACCTCTGCAGGCAAGGAGCTGTTGAGACCTTTGACCTCATGACCCTTCACCCCATCGAGATCGCCCGCCAGCTGACGCTGCTGGAGTCTGACTTCTACAGGTAACGTACGTTTCACGGTGCACCGGGCCCGTCTGACCTCTGACCCCTGACCTCTGCCCTGGGCCCTCAGGGCGGTGCGCCCGTCGGAGCTGGTGGGCAGCGTCTGGACCAAGGAGGACAAGGAGCTGAACTCGCCCAACCTGCTGAGGATGATCCGCCACACCACCAACCTCACGCTGTGGCTGGAGAAGTAAGACATGGAAACACGGAGGCGCTGCACCTCTGACCCGGTCCGCTTCCAGCCCAGTACCACCGACAGCTGTGGTTCCCGCCGGGCCGGTTGGGAGTTAGCTGTCGATTGGTTCATTGGCTGCAGGGGAGGACAAAGACCAGATCTCTGGATTAGAGGAGCACTTCTCTGTGTCTGTCATTTCAATTTGCTGCATCAATAAATTCCCGTCATAATGGACTGTTGCCTCTTCAGCCAAAGATTTGAATGGGAATGTAGATAACCACTTCCGATTGAACCGATCAGAAGTCGGCAAGGCTGTAAACGAGCCGATTTTTGTTGTTGTTAAATGTAAAGCTGAGGTAAATGTTTCCCTCAAACAGCAACAACGATCGCCTGGGTAGCTTTAGCAAGAATTTGATTTATGTGACGTTTCCTGCTCTTTGCAAAGCGACCAGGGCCACAGCACCAATAGGACCGGGTGGAACAGAGCCGGGCCGGGCCGGGCCGGACCGGACCCTGCAGTGCAAAAGGGCTTCGGTGTCCTCAAGGCGACGTCCGCTCAGCCTGCCGTCTCTCTGCAGGTGCATCGTTGAGACTGAGAACCTGGAGGAGCGAGTCGCTGTGGTTTCGCGGATCATCGAGATCTTGCAGGTTTTCCAGGATCTGAATAACTTCAACGGCGTTCTGGAAGTGGTCAGCGCCATGAACTCCTCACCTGTCTATAGACTGGACCACACTTTCGAGGTAGAGCCCCCTGATGCTCCGCCCACCCACCCGACCCACAGAACATGGTCCAACAGGTCTGGCAGGTCCAGATCACATGGTCTTAGATGCATGATGGGATCTATCAGATCTGCCATCTTGTTTACACAACCAGACAGAATGCATGTTGATGGCCGCTGAAGTTCCTGTGGGACCTGGTGAACAGAACCACTGGTACCGATTCTGACAAATCTGCTTCTGTTTCAGCAAATCCCGAGTCGGCAGAGGAAGATCCTGGAAGAAGCTCATGAGCTGAGTGAAGATCACTACAAGAAATACCTGGCCAAGCTGCGCTCCATCAACCCGCCCTGCGTCCCGTTCTTTGGTACGATCCGGCCGCGGCCTGCTGGTACTGGTACCGGCAGAACTCCGCCCTGATGGTGCCGTTTGTTCTGTAGGGATCTATCTGACCAACATCCTGAAGACGGAGGAGGGAAACCCAGACTTCCTGCGGCGACACGGCAAAGACCTGATCAACTTCAGCAAGAGGCGGAAAGTGGCAGAGATCACCGGAGAGATCCAACAGTACCAGAACCAGCCTTACTGCTTGAGCGTGGAGCCCGAAATCAGGGTGAGGCGCCGCTGATGTCACTTCCTGTGTCATGGAGTTGGATTGAAGGTAATCTGTTGTGTCTGTGGAGCAGAAGTTCTTGGAGAACCTGAACCCGATGGAGGATCTGTCCGAGAAAGACTTTGCTGATCATCTCTTCAACAAGTCCTTGGAGATCGAACCTCGAAACACGCGCTCGTTGCCTCGTTTTGTAAGTTGCCATAGTAACTGCCATCACATGTTCATTTGCTCCATGACCTGCAGCGGCGTTACTGACGTCGGACCGCTGTTTCAGGACCCGGTCGTCTGAGGCCTTGCTATTTCAGATCCAGTTACTGATCAGAATCCAACAAAAACACGATTTTCTGGTAAAACTCTCCTCTTCAGTTCAACGTTAGAACTGGAGACACCTTGTTGGTCTGACATCATATCATTTTCACAGCATTGTTGTTGTTAGCAGCTGCTGAAAGTAACTCAAAAAGTTACTTTTAATGTAACTTCATGACTTTCCAAATCAAGTAATCAGTAATCTGATTACAGTTGCTTTTTCAAAGTAACTATGCCGTCACTGAGGACATGTTCTCATTCCTGGTCCAGGTGAAGCGGTACACCTGTCCTCTCAAGTCCCCGGGGATCAGACCCACGTCCACAAGGGTCGGCACCATGAGACATCCTACCCCACTGCAGAACGAGCCCAGGAAGATCAGCTACAACCGGGTCACCGACAGCGAGTCCGAAGGCGGCGTCATTTCTGCTCCCAACTCTCCCCGCACGCCGCTGACTCCGCCCCCAGCCTCCGCCGCGTCCAGCTCCACAGATGTTGGCAGCGTGTTCGACTCGCCTCAGGGTCCAAGCAGCCCCTTCCACTCAAGTAAGGCCTGATCTCCAGCTGTGCTCACAGACATTAGCCACGCCCACTGATCCTCACTGCACCAAAACTGGCCCATAGATTAATCCCACATATTGTAGCTCCACCCCCTGATAAAAGCTCCACCCCCTTAAGCTCGTATTTGAGGCCAATATCTGTTGTGAGACATAAATTTGACTTTGACAAGCTTGCAGACCGTAACTGACATCAAGCACATCCACCAGTTTCCAGAGCGGAACCGGGCTGGTTCTGCTCCTCTGACCCGTTTGTTCTGCTCGCCCTGCAGCCTGCGACAGCATATTCGCTGTAATCTCTCTGCCTCACGGCCCACGTTAGTATGACCCTCCGGACTCTCCGTCATCACACCTCACCTGTTGGCGCACGCCTGGGTTCAGGCTGGCCGGTGCTGGGCGGGAACTTTGGGTCCGCATCCGGGTTCTGTAGGGTGTATGAATATTTGGGCCTGGCACTGAATGAAACGACATGGAAACGTTTTCCGAACCCGACTCATCTCTGCTGCTTCAACTTAAGAACCGTCAGAATCTCTTCAGATCCTGGAATAATTGGGCCATTGGTTCTGCTGACGATCCGTCATGGACCCACCCAGCACTGACCCGTCTCACCTAATCAACACCTGTCTCCATGGAAAGCATCAACCCATCCTCTGACTGTGTTGGAAGGAAACACAACTACTGGAGCGTTAGCCTGCAGGTTCCATTGGGACATAACCTGCCCTGACCCGGTTCTCCAGGTTCCAGTCCAGTCATGGATTAGAACCAGTTTACCGGATAGAACCCCAAACTAAAACCAGTCTACCTGCTGGTTACGGAACCAGACTGTTGTATAGTTTCCTGTAAATTGTTCCTTCATCTCAGACTCATTGAACCCATTCTCTCCTAGAGAAACCCGGTCTGTGTTCTTCCCAGCCTACCAAATGTTCTGGATGTTTAACCGGTTCTGACCCATCTCGTCTCAGGGTCGTCCTCCGTCTCTTCGATGGTGAGCTTCAGTCGGACTTCAGAGGACACTGCCGTCCCCCCTCCGGTTCCGCCGCGCAGACGACCCGAATCGGCTCCTTCTGAGACCTCCCCCTCCAAGGTACCGGCAACACGACCAGACACACAACTAACCACACAACTAGTCACACAACTAGTCACACGGCTAGTCGGCAACACAACCAGACACACAACTAGTCACACAACTAGTCACACAACCAGACACACAACTAGTCACACGACTAGTCACACGGCTAGTCGGCAACACAACCAGACACACAACTAGCCACACAACTAGTCACACAACTAGTCACACAACCAGACACACAACTAGTCACACAACCAGACACACAACTAGCCACACAACCAGACACACAACCAGACACACAACTAGTCACACAACCAGACACACAACTAGCCACACAACCAGTCACACAACCAGTCACACAACCAGACACACAACCAGACACACAACTAGTCACACAACCAGTCACACGACTAGTCGGCAACACAACCAGACACACAACTAGTCAGCAAGTCACACAATTAGTTAGCAACACCACCGGTAAACATCCTGTTTCTGCCCCTCCCCTTTCCCCTTGACTCCGCCCCTCTACAGGTCCAGTCAGTGTTGGAGAGCCCCCCCGCTGTGCCTCCTCGCCAGCCCACCTGTAAGCTCCTCCCCCCTCGTTATGCGTCCATGTCCTCTTCTCCCCCAGACAGCCCCCCCTTGCTGCCTCCCCGAGAGCCACTCAGTTCCCCCCTGCACCTCCTGCCTCCCCCACAGGGGCGCTCTCGCTGCGAAGTCTTGTCCCAGGCTTTCTTCCCCTCCTCCTCCTCTTCGTCTCTGAGCTCCGCCCCCACACCCTTGACTTCCTCACCACCGCTCACCCCCACAGGAAGGAAGATGCCTTTCCCCTCCCCGCCTCTAGATGGCCCCCCAGTGCCACCGCGCCACAGCGTTCCCAAACTGCCCCCCAAGACGTACAAGAGGGAGTCTGTGAGCAACGTGCCCCCTGCTGGACACGCCCCCTGCTCTGCGGTTGGACATCTTGTGAAAGAGGCGGAGCTGGAAACACTATAGCTGATTGGATGGGCAAAGGCTTGGCCCAAGAGAAGGTTCTGACCCGTCAGAAACAAGCTGAACCTGGATCCAGTCCTGGAAGTTTGTTGGAGGTCATTTCATTTTTGGGCCTCGTCTGGGAGCTGTGGGATCCGGATCAGAACCAGTCGGATGTGTTGAGAACTGATTGGACCAGAGGCTTAAGTGGCTGTGGGACCTGTGGTCCAGAAACTGAGGTACTGATGCTGGTTCCGGTTTCTTTTTGTTTGTTGTTGTTGTTGTAAACAAAGGGAATAAATGTTTCTGCCTCTGACTCGGCGCTGCTCGTTATTTACCGCCATGGTCCCACTGAGCATGCTCAGACCGACTCACCTGCTCAGGTGCGTCTTAGGGTTCAGGTACCTTTGCCATCAGGTCCGGTTTTTTTGGTGGTTTTTCATGCTGACCTGAGCCACAGCCAAACCTGACAGAACCAATTCCACAAGCTTCCGGTTTGAACCCGTCCTGCCGCCTCCTGGTTCTGCTGCTTGTCAGACAGGAGTTCTGTTCCAAATGAGAGGAAGGACCTGGTTGGATGTTGCGCGGTTGATTGTCTTGTGGTTGATTGTCTTGTGGTTGATTGTCTTGTGGTTGGATGTCATGTGGTTGATTGTCTTGTGGTTGGATGTCTTGTGGTTGGATGTCTTGTGGTTGGATGTCGTGTGGTTGGATGTCTTGTGGTTGATTGTCTTGTGGTTGGATGTCGTGTGGTTGATTGTCTTGTGGTTGGATGTCTTGTGGTTGGATGTCGTGTGGTTGATTGTCTTGTGGTTGGATGTCGTGTGGTTGATTGTCTTGTGGTTGGATGTCGTGTGGTTGGATGTCGCGTGGTTGGATGTCGTGTAGTTGATTGTCTTGTGGTTGGATGTCTTGTGGTTGGATGTCGCGTGGTGGATGTCGCGTGGTTGATTGTCTTGTGGTTGGATGTCGCGTGGTTGATTGTCTTGTGGTTGGATGTCGCGTGGTTGGATGTCGCGTGGTTGGATGTCTTGTGGTTGGATGTCGCGTGGTTGGATGTCGCGTAGTTGATTGTCTTGTGGTTGGATGTCTTGTGGTTGGATGTCGCGTGGTTGGATGCCGCGTGGTTGGATGTCGCGTGGTTGGATGTCGCGTGGTTGATTGTCTTGTGGTTGGATGTCGTGTGGTTGATTGTCTTGTGGTTGGATGTCGCGTGGTTGGATGTCGCGTGGTTGATTGTCTTGTGGTTGGATGTCGCGTGGTTGATTGTCTTGTGGTTGGATGTCGCGTGGTTGGATGTCTTGTGGTTGGATGTCTTGTGGTTGGATGTCGCGTGGTTGGATGTCGCGTGGTTGGATGTCGCGTGGTTGGATGTCGCGTAGTTGATTGTCTTGTGGTTGGATGTCGCGTGGTTGGATGTCTTGTGGTTGGATGCCGCGTGGTTGGATGTCGCGTGGTTGATTGTCTTGTGGTTGGATGTCTTGTGGTTGGATGTCGTGTGGTTGGATGTTGAACACTCAGACTGGTGTTGCCCGCTGGGGGCGCTGTAAGGAGATTTTATTGTCATAGGAAAACGAGAAACTCGGATTAATGGTAGAATCTGATTTATTGGCTCAATCGGGTCCGCATTGTCCGTGACCCGGTTCTGCAGAACTTTAAACAGGAGGTCCAGAGAAACACAACCAGAACGGAAAGTCAGTTTGGTTTGAAAGGATTCAAACTGAACTGATTCTTGATCAGCTGATTGGGGGAAACCAGCAGGAAGGGGCGGGACTTCGGGCCTCCGATTTAAAGAGCCAGGCACATCGGAGGCACCGGACTGCGGGGCCCATTTCCAGAACCCCGTTTGGTACCAGACGGCTCATCTACAGCCAGTTAAAGAGGAATGGATCCAGACTGAACCAGAACCGCTCTGGATCCGTCTCAATGCCCTTTATAATCCGTCTCTGGTTCCAGGTGGAACGGGTCCGTCTGGACCCGGAGCGGTCTCCAGAACCAGTTCAGAATCTGGAACCTGGTCGGGCTGGACCCGAAGCAGTCTCTGGACCCGGTCCAGGATGATCTGGTTGGCGCTGCTGCAGTCGTCGGGTCGATATGGGGCCCGGATGGTCAGAACACGGGCGACCCGAAGATCGTTCCCGTCCTCCTCCACCGGAACCCGGTTCTGTTGGAGCCAGCGGCGGACTCCGGACCTCCTCCGGCGTCGCTCGTCTGAATCCGGGCCACCGGCCTCCGGAGGCGGGAGGAGAGAGCGGAGCCGCTCCTCCGTGTCCGGGTCCGGTTCCTCCAGAACCTCGACGTGTTGCACGGCGTGACCCAGAACCACCCGGACCGACGCACCGTCCTCCCCGAAGCTCACCAGAGCCACACTGGCGACAGAACAGAACCAGAACCGGATCAGAACCACCAGGTCTGTGGGGCGTGAAGTCTGATCACGTGTCTCACCTGTGGGAGACCGGGTCCACGGTCAGCAGCCAGCCGCGGTGCTCCTCCCGCCGCTTTCCCGCCGTCACCATCACCTGCCTGTGGACGCACCGCAGCCACAGCCGCGGACCTGAATGAAGCCAGCCGCACTGCATCACGGTCCTCTGATCAGCCGTCCGAAGGAAACACGGCAAACACAAGAGTTCCGCTTTATGCTCCACAAGCGGCCGCTGCTGCCCCCTGCAGGCCGGGAACGGAAACTGCAGATTTTAGATGTTAAAAACATGAGGAGCAAATTTACTGCAACTGAGCCTCAACCTGTTAGAACCAGCAGGAGATGAAAAGAAAAGACGTTTGTCCAGGTGGAGAGCAGAGAGGAACACATGCAAAGAAAACAAGAAAAGGAATCGGCCATCTTGATGAAAACTGAAAACTTTCAGATCATCCTAGAAAATGGGAATTTTTTGTTTTGCATTATCAATCATTTGTTATTGATCAGATTTCTCGTTGTGTGTTAGAGTAATGAGGCGGTTCTGATGGGTTGCTAGTGAACTCAAAGCTGTTGTAATGGACTTCATGTTTATATGTTTTTTGTTGTCGGATCATGATACAGCAGCGATGTCTGATGTTATGGCAACGAGTCTGCATGAGACTGACAGAGCAACAAAGTAAGAATATGAATAATTTTGAGTAACTTTCCCTTATCTGAGTCACACTGCATTAATAATCCGCTCATCTCCATGTTCATATTGCTCATGTAATGCTTCTACCCTGGAGTTGAATAGGAGTATAAAATCAGAATCTTATCTGAATCCAGATGGTGACGCATGTTTCATGAATCAATGTTCGACGTGTTTCTTTGGATGTAGTTTTAATGTCTCACTGTTCAGCTCTGCAGCAGGACGGATTCATGTTCATTCATTTGATCAGATAAAATCTGAGTTTAAGAGAATTGTCCCCATTTCAGTCAAAGTTCTTGTCTCCATTTGGACGACGTGGTGAACAGAAGAGGACAGCTCAGACAAATGGATGGTGTAAGTGATGCAGCCACAACACAACTAGCAGTTCTTTTGGAGAAACTTTTTTCTTGTGTTAAATGTTCTCAACTTGTGCTTTTACACCTGCTTGTGTTCATTTCAACTTCTACTTTATTAGTTTGTGTGTCTTCACTATGAAAACATTTGTGTAAAGTAAATTATGAAACTTCAAGCACAAGGCTTGCAAAAATATTCTAATTCCATTCATTTCCTTCAGTGTGAAGATGCTGATGCTGCAGTTTCATTTGGGAAGTTTGCATGGATATGGAAGAAGATCCAGCCAAGCTCATCCTGGAGAACATGGTATGTAGAGATCAATAAATCAATCAATTTGAATATAGCTAGTTATTTGTCTATGCATATTGAGAAATATATCTCCACATGTAGACATACTTAGAGGTCAGAGGTCTCGTTAAAGGGATGTTCTCCGTATCTGACCAGTTATTTTGTAAACGGCAGGGAAACTTGAAGCCCGTCGGTCATTGGACAGATTCTAATAACGTCTCTGATTGGTGGCCAGACATGAAGCAAACAGTTCATTGGAGAGGAACTAAAGTCAATCAGTGAAACTTCCTTTCTGAATATCATGAACTCTGAACTCAATGCGCGTTTCTGAGCGGAGCTGACGGCGGGTTGAAGGGTTACGGACCGGACGCCTCGGAGCGTCTGCTGAGGAAGAGCTTTAAAAACCTTTGGTAGAAATGAGGCCTTTAATTCCAGAGCAGAGAAACTAAAGAGATGCAACGTTGAGCTGATGCAGTAATATTCCAACAGGAGCCGGCAGTTTATCTTGAGGAAATAAATGACGGTGCAGAAGTTCATTAGACGGTACCAATTAGACGGTACCAATTAGACGGTACCATGCGCAGTGGCTGCAGAACTGAACTCATCCTGGGTTTGAACGACCGGAGCTGAAGGCGTTTCCCTCCTAACCCGGCGCGCCGCAGCACATGGAACATCGGTCCATTTCAGAGAAGCAACGCCGCGAATAAAAATCCAGTAAAAGTGCGAACGGGGTAAAAAAAGGTTCAACTGATCGGTTTGGATCAGACTGATCAAGTGATCGATGATCCAGCGCAGATTCTCTGCAGGCCAGGAGGATTTAGTGAGGCTGAGCCTTCAGACTGGAATGAGGCTCATTTACATGGAGTCACTTCATTTGACGGATTCTAAGTTATGGGCCTCCGCAGGTTTTAGATGCTTCATCTGCTTTATGTGTGACAACATCTGGATTCAGGTTCAACCAGCTGATTTTTCATTTAGTAATGTTCTATCCATCCATCCATTTTCTGAGCATCCTTCTCCCTAACGGGGTCCGGAGGTGCTGGTTCCTCTCCAGCTACGTTCCGGGCGAGAGGCGGGTCACTCTGGACAGGTCACCCTGGACAGGTCACCAGTCTGTTGCAGGGCAACACAGAGAGACAAACAGGACAAACAACCATGGGAGAATTTGGGAAGACCAATCAACCTGACAGTCATGTTTTTGGACTGTGGAGGAAGCCGGAGAACCCGGAGAGAACCCAGCATGCACAGGGAGAACATGCAGACTAAATAATAAATGTAGTCTATATATGCTGCGTTATAGCATATTGTCTTATGTTTTATATATATATATTGGGTCTCATGGTTGCTCTTATAGCCAAGTATCTCAAGGATCACTGATGCTGAGTTGTAGATCAGCTCATTGGTTTCTGTTATGGTGTTGGTAGGGATTGTTCTCAATGCTGCATTCACATTCTCAATGAGACTTTCTGATGGTACTTCACTCAGCCGTTGTAATTGGCACCGGGGAGGCCTGGTTGTCATTCGGGTCATGATTCTCTCTCTCAGGTCAGCAGCTGTCTCGTTCAGCTCTGTTTCGCTCATTGGGGCCGTGTATCCCCTCACTGGGTGGGGACTTGTAGTTAAGTCCCCACAGTTCTGACATCCGGGTTCCTCCCTTTTGCCGTAGCATTTGTGTTGTATCTCGTCAATCTCAAGTTGTGATAGCAGTTGCCGTTTGCGGATGTTGGATCACTGAGCTACTAGTTGTTTAGCGCTTAGTGTTGACTGGGGATGTCGAAGTAACCATTCCTTCCCCAGTCTAACCTCTCTCACTAGGGTTACTTGAGTAGTAGCATTCCAACAGATCCACATAACAACAATGATAACTTTATGTTCATGGCAGATGTTATGTAAAGGTTATGACGCTCAGTCTTTTTTTTAATGCAAAAACCCAGATTTGTGTTTTAGAACATGCACTACTAACATAACATTAATGCGTAACTTTTCAAACGTTATTTTAACACATTTGTTAAAAGTATCAGGATGTCATGTCTGATAAGATGAGGACTAATTTTTTAATTAATTAACTAATTAATTATTTTATCTGTCATATTTTACTGTTTGCTATGTGATAACAGTAATAGTCTAAACAAATATTCAAAAAACATTTTTTCTAAAGGGAACATACTACAGCTTAAAGGTTGACATTTAACATATTTCTATAAAAGATCAAATGATTTAGAAAAGTGTCAGATTTCTATCAACATTTTTAAACATGTATCATGTTGCCAAATTTAACTTTTATAGCAAATTTCTTTTACATATTTGTCAAAACTACGACTTTGTCATGTCAGTCGTGTGCGTGAAATAAACTTATCTGTCATGCTTTTAAATCTTTTGTAGAAATATGAAAGTGATTTTTTTTAAACATTTGTTTTCCTTCATCGTTACAGTAAAGCAAGAGACGTTTAGTCTTCAACGTCATTAATACATGTTGAAAAACATTGTTAAAATCTGAAATACTTTTCTATATCACATATTAGATATATGGTTTTATGAAGCTTAACTGTTATATTTGATATATCTATCAATTTTATATCTTAAATATTAACAATATATCAAAACTTGATATTGTTTGATATCTTAAATAACATGTTTGTTTATAAAAATAGTATTTCGGGTAAGACTCCGTTTAAAAATGTTATGCATCTTAAATGTAAAACATATTAAATACAAAGTGGTGTGATTTAGGAATGTTCATTTAAATAAAGTTTCATTGCTCAGAAGCATTCTTTGCCTTTCTAGTCAAATATCAGTTTCTTTTTGATTTGAAAAATTAATTAAGATTTAAATCTGTAACATAATAACATCGTCTTTACATTGAGAAAATCAAAAATAAGCTGCTGTTATTCATTATAATATTGTTGCTAAGATATGAAAAAGTTATTGATATATAATATATTTACATTATGGTAACCGATAAAATGTTTGTAATTTCAACTTCATATTTTTAAGTAATAATAAAATACTGTCATAATTTGAGGGAAAAAGGAAAAATATGTCTTTTCTACTTATTTGCATTGTGTCTGATGGATGTAAACAATAAAATCATCAGGTCCCCTGCTGTCCAGCTCACCTGTCCAGCTCACCTGTCCAGGTCACCTGCTGTCCAGCTCACCTGTCCAGGTCACCTGCTGTCCAGCTCACCTGTCCAGGTCACCTGCTGTCCAGCTCACCTGTCCAGGTCCCCTGTCCCCAGCTCACCTGTCCAGGTCCCCTGTCCCCAGTTCACCTGTCCAGGTCCCCTGTCCCTAGCTCACCTGTCCAGGTCACCTGCTGTCCAGCTCACCTGTCCAGGTCCCTGTCCCCAGTTCGCATGTCCAGGTCCCCTGTCCCCAGTTCGCATGTCCAGGTCCCCTGTCCCCAGTTCGCATGTCCAGGTCCCCTGTCCCTAGCTCACCTGTCCAGGTCACCTGCTGTCCAGCTCACCTGTCCAGGTCCCCTGTCCCCAGTTTGCATGTCCAGGTCCCCTGTCCCCAGTTCGCATGTCCAGGTCACCTGTCCCCAGCTCACCTGTCCAGGTCACCTGGAACGTTGCTGAAGCAGCAGCACCTCCTGACCTCACTGGGGTCAAGGGTTAGAAAATGGATGGATGGATGGAAATCTTTGCTGCATGTGACGTTTTGAGTTAAAGTGGATTTATGAAAATGTTTTGTTGTTTTTTCGTCTTTATGTAAAATTAAAATAAAATATTATGACACATTAGTAATAAAAAGGTTTGATATGATAAACTGAGCAGAAAAAAGAAATAAGAATAATAACCACAAATTGCAGAAAATAAAACTAAACATCACAAATGCAAAACAAATTTCAGATCTTAAATTAAGACATTAACATATTTTAGGTATAGAATTGGCCTTTTATGATGTTTCTCTAAAATGAAATGATTTCACTTTAAGGTAGAAGAGATTTTTAGAAAGCAGCACTTGAGAACCAGAAGATTAAATATATCATAATTTAACTCTTCATCTCCTGTTAGAAAAACACATTTTAAATATAGATTTCTTGTACAATATCCACTTTTAAAAACTTTCTAAAAAGTTTAATGAAGTCGCAATTTAAAAAATATTTGTCTCAAAATCTGTCAAAAAACGCAGGAATTGATATTCATTTTGAATTTCTTCTGCATAAAGTCATTCCAGGAAAAATGTCATTTTGAATTATAAAATGAATATCTAGTTTTCAGTGGAAGTGGAACAAAAAGCTGTTTGGTTTTATTGTCCTGATTTTAAACAAATGTTTCTTAGTTGGAGGAGGAAACTTTCTGGTTGCAGCTCCATCATTGCAGGCCTGGATTCCTGCAGCTGGTCCAAACGCTGCAGCAGAGTTCTGATGAAAACTCAAAACAGAAAGCATATTTCTCCTGTTTTACATCAGCTCCCTATTGTCTGAGATCATAATCTCAGATTCTACTTGTCACATAAAGAGGCCATAATCATCAGTTCCATCAGAGATTTGACTGGTCCAGTTGTTCCTACCAGAACCCTGTGGTAACCAGACAGTAGGCTCTACTGGTTCTGCAGGTCCCAGGAGCACAAAGGGAGTCAGATCCTTCAGTTTACTGAGATGATGCCCTGAATACTTAGTAGATTAAAAAACTTTGCTGTGTGAAGCTGAGGGGATAAGAGATGTTTGTCCAGTCAGACGGCTGATGGTGAAATCAGAATTAAGGAAATTATTTAAAGTGAACATACATTGTAATAAGCAGAGCCATAACAAACATTACTGGAACTGAACAACAAACCGTTCAAATTACAAGCTCATCCCAACCAAACTTTACACTGAAATCCAACCCGGAAAAGGCCTGCTTTGTTTCCGGCGCTGGATCAGTGACCAGCTAGCTACAGAGCTAACCTTATCGCGGACCGACCAGAACCGTCCGGAGTCAGAATGTCCCGCTTCGGGCGCTACGGAGGAGGTAACCCGCTGTGACCTTCTTCTTGATCGGTACCGGTCCGTAGAACCGTCCGGTACGCTCACTGAATAGTTTCGGAGAGTTTTCGGAGCTAGTGAGCTATAAGTAGAGCTAACTGCTAACATGAGTCTGTGACGTCACTGTTGTACCTGCTGCACGTGTCCTCAGGTGTGTCCGCGGTGTTTGTTTCATGTGAGCGCAGTCAAAGGTCAATGAGTTTGATTAACTGGCAGAAGTTGGTAAATTAGCGGGAAATACACCGGAGTCTGGTTCAGTGAGTAGCAAACACGTTTAGGATGCTGCCCCCTTGTGGCGCACCGGAAATCACAGCAACAAGTTGACAAGAGCTAACCCCGCCCACCGGAAGTTACCGTCATATTACTTGTACTGATTTTAATACAGACTGATTAACTTGGTGCAGATTGTTATTTCATATTACACACTGTGGTTCTGTTGACAGTTCTGTTGGCGGTTCTGTTGGTGGTTCTGTTGGTGGTTCTGTTGGCGGTTCTGTTGGTGGTTCTGTTGGCGGTTCTGTTGATGGTTCCATTGGTGGTTCTGTTGGTGGTTTTGTTGGTGGTTCTGTTGATGGTTCTGTTGGCGGTTCTGTTGACGGTTCTATTGGTGGTTCTGTTGATTTTGTTGAGGTTCTGATGATGCTGGTGGTTCTGTTAGTGGGTTCTATTATTGGTTCTATTGACGGTTCCAACAGAACCACCTCCTAAAGAACCACGTTCTGGTGGCGGTTCCGTTGGCGGTTCTGATGTGTCTGGCTCCGCCTCTGTCCACAGCAGGATGTTCCTGTGCTCTGATTGGCTGTTGGAGCTGCTGGCTCCGCCCCCTGACGCTGCCTCTTGTCTGCAGAGTCCAAGGTTTACGTGGGGAACCTGGGGACCGGCGCCGGGAAGGCCGAGCTGGAGCGGGCCTTCGGGTACTACGGGCCTCTCAGAACTGTCTGGATCGCCAGGAACCCGCCGGGCTTCGCCTTCGTGGAATTCGAGGACTCCAGGGACGCCGAGGACGCCGTCCGAGGGCTGGACGGGAAGTGGGTACCGTGCAGGACCACAGGTGAGCCGGGCGCGGCGGCGGACTGACCGGCTGTCGGCGTGTTTCAGGGTGATCTGCGGCAGCCGGGTCCGGGTGGAGCCGTCCAACGGGATGCCGCGGCGTTCCCGCTACGAGAGGCCGCCGCCACGCCGACCGTTTGACCCCGACGACAAGTGCTACGAGTGCGGACAGAAAGGCCACTACGCCTACGACTGCCACCGCTACGGCCGCCGTGGCCACCGCAGCAGGTACGGCGCCGGCCTGAGGCCACGCCACCCGTCCGCTCTCGTCTCATGATGCGATCCGCTTCAGGTCCAGTCCAGGTCCAGGTCCCGGTCCCGGTCCCGGTCCCGGTCCCGAGGGAGGCGGTATTCCCGGAGCCGGAGTCGCAGCCGGAGTCGAGGGAGAAGGTGAGTTCTGTCGACCCGCCGGTCCAGAACCACGGTGCCGAGCTCTAACCCTGTGATGTCATCAGATCCGGGTCCTCTCCTCGGCAATCCAGGTCCAGCTCACCCAGAAGGTCCAGGTCCGGTTCACCCAGAAGGCTGCGGTCCGGTTCTCCTGGGCGGTCCCGGTCGATGTCAAAGTGCCGCAGCAGGTGGGTGTGGCTGTTCTGAGCATGCTCAGTTCAGAGTTCACCTTGACCGACGGTTCTGTCTCTGCAGGTCCGGATCCATGGGCCGGTCTCATTCCGGATCTCGAGCCAGAAGGTGAGAACAGAAGGGAGTCATAGAGGTCATAGAGGTCATAGAGGGGGTCATAGAGGTCATAGAGGGGGTCATAGAGGTCATAGAGGTCATAGAGGGGGTCATAGAGGTCATAGAGGGGGTCATAGAGGTCATAGAGGGGGTCATAGAGGTCATAGAGGTCATAGAGGGGTCATAGAGGTCATAGAGGGGGTCATAGAGGTCATAGAGGTCATAGAGGGGGTCATAGAGGTCATAGAGGTCATAGAGGGGGTCATAGAGGTCATAGAGGGGGTCATAGAGGTCATAGAGGGGGTCATAGAGGTCATAGAGGTCATAGAGGTCATAGAGGGGGTCATAGAGGTCATAGAGGGGGTCATAGAGGTCATAGAGGGGGTCATAGAGGTCATAGAGGGGGTCATAGAGGTCATAGAGGTCATAGAGGTCATAGAGGTCATAGAGGGGGTCATAGAGGTCATAGAGGTCATAGAGGGGGTCATAGAGGTCATAGAGGGGGTCATAGAGGTCATAGAGGTCATAGAGGGGGTCATAGAGGTTATAGAGGTCATAGAGGTCATAGAGGTCATAGAGGGGGTCATAGAGGTCATAGAGGTCATAGAGGGGGTCATAGTCATAGAGGGGGTCATAGAGGTCATAGAGGGGTCATAGAGGATAGAGGTCATAGAGGGTGGTGCTGTCCATAGACATGAATATCTAGATGCCTATTGGATGGGGCGTTTTCACCAGCTCCTCCTATTTTTCATTCATTCATTCATTCATTCTCTCTAATGTATCTGGGAATCAGTCACTAAAGACAAGATTTCTAACCTTTTGATCTGAATATTTCATTGTTTTGGTCTTTCTGAACAAATATGTCAATGTTTTTAATTGAAAAATGTAATTTTGATGAATCCTTTTTAAATTGGCATTGATGAACACGTATCATAACAGGGATGCATTCATAAACATGTTTACATGATTTCATAAGTCAGTGTGCATTTGCCATTTCAAGATATGAAGAAAAAAGCAGGTCTGATATTGTATAGACAATAAACTTGAATAAATCAGCCATTGTCAAACATTAGCTATAGATTTTTATTTCTTTTAATACAGTACAATGTGTGTGAAGGAAATGATAAACTAAATCATTTTATTTCATGACATAAACTATCTTAATACCAAGCACTTTACATTTGACTTAAAAATACACAAAAATGAAAGAAAACAATAAAATACAATAAACTGGGGAGACTGGACCCAGACTGGGATCAGTCTGCTGGTCACACTGGGAGGAGTCCAGTGACTTCCTTTCGGATCCAACAGAACCACCGGAACAGAGACCGGTTGTTCCCGACCAACCGGGTCCTGGAGGTTCTGGCACTCAGTGTGCTAGAAAAGCTGATTAATCCCAATATGAAGCTGCAAAACACAGAATGAAAAAGTTAGAACCAGAGTGGGTCACAATTTAGTTTCATAAGAAAATATCTCTTGGTTGTTCAGAAGCAAATTTCTGGCTGCAGAGTCGAGACATCCGACTCATAAAATTATATGATTTCATTCTTACCTGTGAAAGGTAATCCCAATGGATCCAGTTTGTAAAAAAACGGCGCGATTGAAACAAATCCAGCAGGACGTGAATTTCTGGACCTGCGATCGCCGTAGGAGGCGTCTGCATATTCATATCTGAGGTCATGGAGGTCATGGAGCTGCTGCTGCGTTAGCCCTTAGCATAGCTTGGTGTTCAGTCCTTTGTCAGACAGCAAGGGGTCAAAGGTCAGAAGCACCTGGAACCTGTCTTCTGGTCTAACAAAGAGGCGGAGTCAGTGGGAACGCTTCCTTAAATAGCTTGGGTTGAAGCAGAGGACTGGATCCAGAAGTTATAATCAATAAGTCTATAACGGCTCTAACGGTCTCTCTCTCTCTCTGTCTCTCTCTCGCTCCAGTCGCTCGGCCTCCAGGACTCCTGCTGACAACTGACTTCCTGTTTGCTCTCATGTTTTGTACGAACTCACTCTGTTGTGTAGCAGCTCTGTGATTATTGGTTATTAATTAGTGACTATTGGTTTCTGATCAGCCTGCTTTGGTTCCTCAGCCGTTTACTTCCTGCAATGATCTGTTAATAAAGGTTTGTCATTCAAACGTGTGAGAGTGTTCAGTCCACCAATCAGACTGAAGCCCCGCCCCCTCAGCCACAATCAGACAGACATGGGACTGAAGCCCCGCCCCCTCAGCCACCAATCATACTGAGTAATGGGACTGAACCCCGCCCCCTCAGCCACCAATCATACTGAGACATGGGACTGAAGCCCCGCCCCCTCAGCCACCAATCATACTGAGACATGGACTGAAGCCCCGCCCCCTCAGCCACCAATCATACTGAGTAATGGGACTGAAGCCCCGCCCCCTCAGCCACCAATCATACTGAGTAATGGGACTGAAGCCCCGCCCCCTCAGCCACCAATCATACTGAGTAATGGGACTGAAGCCCCGCCCCCTCAGCCACCAATCATACTGAGTAATGAGACTGAAGCCCCGCCCCTCAGCCACCAATCATACTGAGTAATGGGACTGAAGCCCCGCCCCCCTCAGCCACCAATCATACTGAGACATGGGACTGAAGCCCCGCCCCCTCAGCCACCAATCATATGAGACATGGGACTGAAGCCCCGCCCCTGAGCTGTTAAAGTCTTGTTGGAGTCTGTGAAGCTCCAGAAGAAGAAGATGGAGGACTCTTCATCACCCATGGATCTCTTTCAGGCAGGTAAGACGCACCTGAACACCTATTGCTGTGTGGTTGCCCTGGAAACTAGCTGTCCCCAGTAAGCTGATTGGCTGTCACTAATCCACTCTGAATGCCCAGTTAAACCAGTACAGAACCTTAAACTGAGACAAATCCAGGGTAGAACTGCAGAACCTCAGCCTGCAACAGAACCGAGCTGCTGTTAGAGACCTAACAGAACCTCCAACTGGACCTGGGACCTGCTAATCTGCTGTGTGGCGTCGGTCACCTGATCGGATCAGCGCTGAGAACAGAGGCTGGTTGTTCCCGACCCACCGGGTCCTGGAGGTTCTGGTAGGTCTGCAGGTCGGTTGTACAACATTTCTGTCTTGGTTCTGCGGTTTGTCATGTGGAGTCCCCAGAGAGGAGATGGGTCAGAACCGGTCCATCAACCTGGGTCTGATTTGCAGGTTCTGTTGGTTCTGGACTTGTTCAGAACCAGTTTTCATAAGCGAGTCCAACGGGACGGCAGTCAGGATGAGATCGTATTCGGGTTCTGGACTTGTTCAGACGTCATATTCTGGATTATGTGTTTGGAGATGAAACTGTTGTGCTGGACCAGAACCGGACCGGATCTGATCAGAACCAGGTTCTCTCCAGCCTTGCAGCTCGCCTATTGGAGGGAACCCAGGAAGTCCTCGGCGGCGTTCCTCTCGTCTCTGATTGTCCTTGTTGGCATGGCGACGCTGTCGGTCATCAGCGCGGTGTCCTACCTGTTGCTGGCCTGTCTCTGCGTCACCATCACCTTCAGGTGGGTGGAGTCCAGCTGACGGGAACCCTAACCTTTAACCCCTAACCCTAACCCCATCACATCACCATGATGTCATGACGACTGCTTCCTGCCAACAGGGTTTATAAATCCCTGATCCAGGCGGTCCAGAAGTCCCACGAAGGTCACCCCTTCAGGTAGGCGACGGAGCCGCCTGGCCTCCGGGCTCCCTGACCTTTAACCCCGTGCCCCGTCCTCTGCCAGGTCTCAGCTGGACCGGGACATCTCTGTTTCCGCGGAGTCGGCCCGGCAGCTGGCTGAGCGGTGCCGGAACCGCCTGAACTGGCTGAGCGTCCAGACCAGGAGGCTGCTGCTGGTGGAGGACCTGGTGGACTCGCTAAAGGTCAGAGGGCAGGATCCGGTCAGAGGGCAGGATCCGGTTCAGTGACCCGGTCCCAGATGGGTTCTGGTTCTGTTGCAGATGGCGGCCATCATGTGGCTGATGACGTACGTCGGCGCGTTGTTCAACGGCGTCACTGTTCTGATCCTGGGTGAGTGGTTCTGGTTCTGGTTCTGGTCCATCTGCTGATCAAACTCCTACTGTAATACTCACAGTCACCACTAGAGGCGCTGAATCGCGGCTCCACCCACTGGCTCCACCCACTGGCTCCACCTTGTTCTTCTAATATGGTCGTTCCTCAGTTCTGCTTATTGTTGTTTGCAGCTGATGTTGTTTTCTTCACCGCGCCGCTGATGTACCAGAAGAAGAAGGTACTTCCTCTTCCTCCTCTTCCTCTTCTTCCTCTTCCTCCTCCTCCTCTTCTTCCTCTTCCTCCTCTTCTTCCTCTTCTTCCTCTTCTCCTCTTCCTCTTCTTCCTCTTCCTCCTCTTCCTCCTCTTCTTCCTCTTCCTCCTCTTCCTCCTATTCTTCCTCTTCCTCCTCTTCTTCCTCTTCCTCTTCTTCTTCCTCTTCCTCTTCTCCTCTTCCTCCTCTTCTTCCTCTTCTTCCTCTTCCTCCTCTTCTTCCTCTTCGTCCTCTTCTTCCTCTTCCTCCTCTTCTTCCTCTTCCTCCTCTTCTTCCTCTTCGTCCTCTTCTTCCTCTTCCTCCTCTTCTTCCTCTTCCTCTCTCTTCCTCTTCCTCTATTCTTCCTTTTTCCTCCTCTTCTTCCTCTTCCTCCTCTTCTTCCTCTTCTCCTCTTCTTCCTCTTCCTCCTCTTCTTCCTCTTCCTCCTCTTCTTCCTCTTCCTCCTCTTCTTCCTCTTCCTCTTCTTCCTCTTCCTCCTCTTCTTCCTCTTCCTCCTCTTCTTCTCTTCCTCCTTCTTCCTCTTCCTCCTCTTCTTCCTCTTCCTCCTCTTCTTCCTCTTCCTCCTCTTCTTCCTCTTCCTCCTCTTCTTCCTCTTCCTCCTCTTCCTCTCTTCTTCCTCTTCCTTCTCTTCTTCCTCTTCCTCCTCTTCTTCCTCTTCTTCCTCTTCCTCCTCTTCCTCCTCTTCTTCCTCTTCCTCCTCTTCTTCCTCTTCCTCCTCTTCTTCCTCTTCCTCCTCTTCTTCCTCTTCCTCCTCTTCTTCCTCTTCCTCCTCTTCTTCCTCTTCCTTCCTCTTCTTCCTCTTCCTTCTCTTCTTCCTCTTCCTCCTCTTCTTCCTCTTCCTCCTCTTCTTCCTCTTCCTCCTCTTCCTCTCTTCTTCCTCTTCTTCTCTTCTTCCTCTTCCTCCTCTTCTTCCTCTTCTTCCTCTTCCTCCTCTTCTTCCTCTTCCTCCTATTCTTCCTTTTCCTCCTCTTCTTCCTCTTCCTCCTCTTCTTCCTCTTCCTCCTCTTCTTCCTCTTCCTCCTCTTCTTCCTCTTCTCCTCTCTTCCTCTTCTTCTTTCTTCCTCTTCCTCCTCTTCTTCTCTTCCTCCTCTCTTCCTCTTCCTCCTCTTCTTCCTCTTCCTCCTCTTCTTCCTCTTCCTCTTCTTCCTCTTCCTCCTATCTTCCTTTTCCTCCTCTTCTTCCTCTTCCTCCTCTTCTTCCTCTTCTTCCTCTTCCTCCTCTTCCTCCTCTTCTTCCTCTTCCTCCTCTTCTTCCTCTTCTTCCTCTTCTTCCTCTTCCTCCTCTTCTTCCTCTTCCTCCTCTTCTTCCTCTTCCTTCTCTTCTTCCTCTTCCTCCTATTCTTCCTCTTCGTCCTCTTCTTCCTCTTCCTCCTCTTCTTCCTCTTCCTCCTATTCTTCTTCCTCTCTTCTTCCTCTTCCTCCTCTCTTCCTCTTCCTCCTCTTCTTCCTCTTCCTCCTCTTCTTCCTCTTCCTCCTCTTCTCCTCTTCTTCCTCTTCTTCTCTTCTTCCTCTTCCTCCTCTTCTTCCTCTTCCTCCTCTTCCTCCTCTTCTTCCTCTTCCTCCTCTTCTTCCTCTTTTCCTCTTCTTCCTCTTCTTCCTCTTCCTCCTCTTCCTCCTCTTCTTCCTCTTCCTCCTCTTCCTCCTCTTCTTCTCTTCTTCCTCTTCCTCCTCTTCTTCCTCTTCTTCCTCTTCCTCCTCTTCCTCCTCTTCTTCCTCTTCCTCCTCTTCCTCCTCTTCTTCCTCTTCCTTCTTTCTTCCTCTTCCTCCTCTTCTTCCTCTTCCTCCTCTTCTTCCTCTTCTCCTCTTCTTCCTCTTCTCTTCCTCTTCTTCCTCTTCCTCCTCTTCCTCCTCTTCTTCCTCTTCCTCCTCTTCTTCCTCTTCTTCCTCTTCTCCTCTTCTTCCTCTTCTTCCTCTTCCTCCTCTTCCTCCTCTTCTTCCTCTTCCTCCTCTTCTTCCTCTTCTTCCTCTTCCTCCTCTTCCTCCTCTTCTTCCTCTTCCTTCTCTTCTTCCTCTTCCTCCTCTTCTTCCTCTTCTTCCTCTTCCTCCTCTTCTTCCTCTTCCTCCTCTTCTTCTCTTCCTCCTCTTCTTCCTCTTCTTCCTCTTCTCCTCTTCCTCCTCTTCCTCCTCTTCTTCCTCTTCTTCCTCTTCTTCCTCTTCCTCCTCTTCTTCCTCTTCTTCCTCTTCTCCTCTTCCTCCTCTTCTTCCTCTTCCTCCTCTTCCTCCTCTTCTTCCTCTTCTTCCTCTTCCTCCTCTTCCTCCTCTTCTTCCTCTTCTTCCTCTTCCTCCTCTTCTTCCTCTTCCTCCTCTTCTCCTCTTCTTCCTCTTCCTCCTCTTCTTCCTCTTCCTCCTCTTCCTCCTCTTCTTCCTCTTCCTCCTCTTCTTCCTCTTCCTCCTCTTCTTCCTCTTCTTCCTCTTCCTCCTCTTCCTCCTCTTCTTCCTCTTCTTCCTCTTCTTCCCTTCCTCTCTTCTTCCTCTTCTTCCTCTTCCTCCTCTTCTTCCTCTTCCTCCTCTTCTTCCTCTTCCTCCTCTTCCTCCTCTTCTTCCTCTTCCTCCTCTTCTTCCTCTTCCTCCTCTTCTTCCTCTTCTTCCTCTTCCTCCTCTTCCTCCTCTTCTTCCTCTTCTTCCTCTTCTTCCTCTTCCTCCTCTTCTCCTCTTCCTCCTCTTCTTCCTCTTCTTCCTCTTCCTCCTCTTCCTCCTCTTCTTCCTCTTCCTCCTCTTCTTCCTCTTCCTCCTCTTCTTCCTCTTCTTCCTCTTCCTCCTCTTCCTCCTCTTCTTCCTCTTCCTCCTCTTCTTCCTCTTCTTCCTCTTCTTCCTCTTCCTCCTCTTCCTCCTCTTCTTCCTCTTCCTCCTCTTCTTCCTTTCTTCCTCTTCTTCCTCTTCCTCCTCTTCCTCCTCTTCTTCCTCTTCCTCCTCTTCTTCCTTTTCCTCCTCTTCTTCCTCTTCCTCCTCTTCTTCCTCTTCTTCCTCTTCCTCCTCTTCTTCCTCTTCCTCCTCTTCCTCCTCTTCTTCTCTTCCTCCTCTTCTTCCTTCCTCCTCTTCTTCCTCTTCTTCCTCTTCCTCCTCTTCTTCCTCTTCCTCCTCTTCTTCCTCTTCTTCCTCTTCCTCCTCTTCTCCTCTTCTTCCTCTTCTTCCTCTTCCTCCTCTTCTTCCTCTTCCTCCTCTTCCTCCTCTTCTTCCTCTTCCTCCTCTTCTTCCTCTTCCTCCTCTTCTTTCTCTTCTTCCTCTTCTTCCTCTTCCTCCTCTTCTTCCTCTTCTTCCTCTTCTCCTCTTCCTCCTCTTCTTCCTCTTCCTCCTCTTCTTCCTCTTCCTCCTCTTCTTCTCTTCTTCCTCTTCCTCTCTTCCTCTTCTTCCTCTTCCTCCTCTTCTTCCTCTTCTTCCTCTTCCTCCTCTTCTTCCTCTTCTTCCTCTTCCTCCTCTTCCTCCTCTTTCTTCCTCTTCCTCCTCTTCTTCCTCTTCTTCCTCTTCTTCCTCTTCCTCCTCTTCCTCCTCTTCTTCCTCTTCCTCCTCTTCTTCCTCTTCCTCCTCTTCTTCCTCTTCCTCCTCTTCTTCCTCTTCTCTTTCTTCCTCTTCCTCCTCTTCCTCCTCTTCTTCCTCTTCCTCCTCTTCTTCCTCTTCTTCCTCTTCTTCCTCTTCCTCCTCTTCCTCTTCCTCCTCTTCTTCCTCTTCCTCCTCTTCTTCCTCTTCCTCCTCTTCTTCCTCTTCTTCCTCTTCCTCCTCTTCTTCCTCTTCTTCCTCTTCCTCCTCTTCCTCCTCTTCTTCCTCTTCCTCCTCTTCTTCTCTTCCTCCTCTTCCTCTTCCTCCTCTTCTTCCTCTTCTTCCTCTTCCTCCTCTTCTTCCTCTTCCTCCTCTTCCTCCTCTTCTTCCTCTTCCTCCTCTTCTTCCTCTTCCTCCTCTTCTTCCTCTTCCTCCTCTTCCTCCTCTTCTTCCTCTTCCTCCTCTTCCTCCTCTTCTTCCTCTTCCTCCTCCACCCTAACCCGGTTCTACGTTCTCTGTGATTTCAGACTCGGATCGATCAGCAGCTGGTTCTGCTTCGGTCCAAACTGGACAAGGTTCTGCTGAGGTGAGTCCGCTCTCCGTCGCCTGGTTACCGTTGCCATGGGGATACCGTTGCCATGGGGATACCTGACGCTGTCTCCGCCTCAGGCTGCAGGACCGGCTGCCTGGAGCCGTGAGGAGGAGCAAAGCGGAGTGAACCTGAGATCGGCCCGGTTCCGACCCAATAAAGAGTTCTGATAAATAAACTGATGTGCCGATGTTATTCATGTCTGCAGAAAAGCCACAGACCATTTCAGAACCAGAACCAATGCTTCACTTAGTTTCAACTGGTCCGGTTCGGTCCAGAATGATCATCAGATTTATTGATCTCTGCATATCTGACCAGCCGGGTCCACAGTAAAGAACCCGGTCTGGAATGGATCTGGTTCTGATAAAGTGCTTAGTCAGAACTGTGGTCTCACCGAGGAACCGGTCCTGGAGGTCCGGTGTCCTGCAGCCTTTAGCTGAGGCTCTGCAGAACCTGAACAGAATAATGAGATCATTACGGTTCTGGAGAACCGAGCCCACACCAGGAGGTCATGAAGCCGTTTCAGTCCAGCGATTTGTACCAGAAGCTCATCTGAAGGATCTCCTGCCCCCTGCTGGCTGCTCTGGTCCTAGCAGAGCTCAGCATGACTTCCTAACTCAGGGGTCTCAAACTCCGGTCCCGGGGGCAGCAGATCCGGTCTGAAGGATCTGCTGCCCCCTCTGAAGGAACTCCGGTCCCGGGGCCCCCCGGGACGTCCCCCTGACCGGATCCTGCGCCCCCCGGGACCGGAGTTTAAGACCCTGAGTTAGGAAGTCATGCTGAGCTCTGCTAGGACCAGAGCAGCCAGCAGGGGCAGCAGATCTCTGCGTATCAGACTGAATGGAGACTGTTGTTCCCAGACCAAGATGGAGGGGGGCAGGGGGGGGTCATGGGACCTGAGAGGGGGGGTCATGGGACGAGTTTGCTTCTCCTCATCCTTGTGACTCATGAGTTAGAAGAAGCAGCTGATGAGTCGAGCGGAGCGAAGATGGAGGAGTTTTCCCGCTGCGTGACGGAGGCCGGCGGCTGGCTGAGGAGCTGCTGCTGGTGCGAGGAGGAGGAAGAGAAGGAGGAAGATGGAGGACCAGAGGAGGAGGAGGACAGTCCCAGGAGCTGCAGGAACTGGACCTCCATCCCGCCTTCTGTGGTACCGGTCCAGATCCTCCACATCCTTCACATGAAATGCTAACTTCCTCACCCTGAAGGTTCTGGTTCTGTTGGGCCTCAGAAACTTTGGTGTCACTTAACACCATTATGAACAGGTGATGTTAAGGTGGATCCATTGTTTTAACGTGGAACCATTGTTTTAAGGTGGAACCATTGTTTTAAGGTGGAACCATTGTTTTAAGGTGGAACCATTGTTTTAACGTGGAACCATTGTTTTAACGTGGAACCATTTTTTAAGGTGGATCCATTGTTTAACGTGGAACCATTGTTTTAAGGTGGATCCATTGTTTTAAGGTGGATCCATTGTTTTAACGTGGAACCATTGTTTTAACGTGGAACCATTGTTTTAAGGTGGAACCATTGTTTTAACGTGGAACCATTGTTTTAAGGTGGATCCATTGTTTTAAGGTGGAACCATTGTTTTAAGGTGGATCCATTGTTTTAAGGTGGAACCATTGTTTTAAGGTGGATCCATTGTTTTAACGTGGAACCATTGTTTTAAGGTGGATCCATTGTTTTAAGGTGGATCCATTGTTTTAAGGTGGATCCATTGTTTTAAGGTGGAACCATTGTTTTAAGGTGGATCCATTGTTTTAAGGTGGATCCATTGTTTTAACGTGGAACCATTGTTTTAACGTGGAACCATTGTTTTAAGGTGGAACCATTGTTTTAACGTGGAACCATTGTTTTAAGGTGGATCCATTGTTTTAAGGTGGATCCATTGTTTTAACGTGGAACCATTGTTTTAACGTGGAACCATTGTTTTAAGGTGGATCCATTGTTTTAAGGTGGATCCATTGTTTTAACGTGGAACCATTGTTTTAAGGTGGATCCATTGTTTTAAGGTGGATCCATTGTTTTAACGTGGAACCATTGTTTTAACGTGGAACCATTGTTTTAAGGTGGATCCATTTTTAAGGTGGATCCATTGTTTAAACGTGGAACCATTGTTTTAAGGTGGAACCATTGTTTTAAGGTGGATCCATTGTTTTAACGTGGAACCATTGTTTTAAGGTGGATCCATTGTTTTAAGGTGGATCCATTGTTTTAACGTGGAACCATTGTTTTAAGGTGGATCCATTGTTTTAAGGTGGATCCATTGTTTTAACGTGGAACCATTGTTTTAAGGTGGATCCATTGTTTTAAGGTGGCTTTTAAGGAGGAAGGTTCTTATCAATGGGCTATATACGCTTTATTTCCTCTTCTTGTGAGCCTGGTTTGTCCTAAGCTGTGTTGGACCCGTCCAGCTGGAAGGAGACATCTTGGCATCTCGCTCTTTTTTCTGCCTGAAAACTCTGTCTGTGTTCAGGTGGGACCCGAAGCTCCCGACCCGTCTGGACCTCAGCCTTACTGGTTCCACACGCTGCAGGTCCGACGGCTCAGGACTCCAAGAGGACGAAGCAACAGTGACCCGCTAAGAGCAGCGACTGCGCAGGAAGTCTTCACCTGGGTCAGCTGATGATGTCATGACGTGTGTGATGTAAGGACCGCATCACGTTCTTCAGAAACTGAAGCTTGACGTTTGCACTGTGCTCAGAAAGCGGGTCTGGAGTTCGGAGCGGCCCGGTCGTACCTGAGTCTGGAGAAGCTGGGAGAAGGAGTTCGCCTCCGTCTACAAGGGCATAAGCAGGTCAGAGGGTCCATGTTTGGTGACATCACGGATGTTATTTCAGATTGTCCTCACACCAGCAGACATGCACCTGAGACGACAGTTTCAGAAAATCACCGCGTTCTCGTTGCAACTCGTTTCTTCTGTTTAGGATCAACGGCCAGCTGGTGGCGCTGAAGGTGATCCGTATGAAGACAGACGAGGGGATCCCGTTCACCGCCATCAGAGAAGGTGACCAATGAGATCTGTCCACCACCCACCTGAGTCCATTTGTGTTTGCACTCACCTGTGTGTGTGTGCGTGTGCACAGCTTCTCTCTTAAAGCATCTGAAAACACGCCAACATCGTCCTCCTGCATGACATCATCCACACCAGAGAGACGCTCACCTTCGTCTTTGAATATGTGGTGAGGAAGGCCTTCTCCCTTCAGCAGCAGTTCCCAGTCTGACCAGAGGGGCGCTGCAGATACAATCTCAATCAGGCCTTGTTGATTTGAGCGAAATGTTGAGAGCTGGCAGCAGATGTTTGACATGTTTCTGGATCTCAGCAGCTCTGATTCGCTGACTTGTATTTGTCTGGTGTTAGTGTAGTAGCTGTTGTCTTCCTGCAGGGGGCAGTGCCGCCCAGAGTGGTAGACTGAAGCTTTCTGATCATTGTGTTGCTGCTGCAGCAGACAGATCTGGCCCAGTATATGACGCAGCACCCCGGTGGACTTCATTCGCACAACGTGCGGGTATGTGCACACACAGCAGGGGGCGCTGCAGGAACTGCATGTTGCACTGATGCTGTTCTTCCATACAGATCTTCATGTTCCAGCTGCTGCGAGCCCTCAGCTACATCCACAGTCGCAGGATCCTGCACCGAGACCTGAAGCCCCACAACCTGCTCATCAGCTACCTGGGAGAGCTCAAGCTGGCCGACTTCGGTGTGTTTTAACACATGTTGTCATGTGGCAGCAATGAAACGTGCTTATGTTCAGCATAAAAGTGAATGTTATATATTAATCTGAACATAAAACAAGCATCATCAAGTTTCATTTCTTGGAGTGAAGTTTTGGACAGAAATGCTTGATGTCATTTAAAAGCACTGATGAATGTAAAGGGTTAATGTTACTCAGACCTGAAGGGAAAGTTTTGAATATTTGTTCGACTGATTGTTCGAAAATAAATATGCTCTAAAATTAGTAATAAGACGTTGAAGTCAAAATCTTGATCTATGCAGTCAGTTCATCATGAACGAAGCTCTTATTGAATAGTTTAAGCTATAATATTTAAATTCACAAAACGACACCAGGAGCAAAACGGATGATTATTTTTATGATAAATGTTTCACTGAAGGAAAGTGATGAAATTGTTTCTGCTTGACCCAGTTTGACCTCACTGGTCTTAAATGTCGATGTCTAAAGTATATTTTACTGAGTTAGATTTGTCTAATTAAAAACAGAAGTCATTTCAGTGTTTCACATAATTGACTCAGTTATGTCAACTGGTTCCAATAAACCTTCATTATAACTTAATGTTGAACAAACTGACATCTGAAATTTATCTTCAGCATTAAGTTAAACAAACTTAACCCTAAACTCAATTTACTGAGCTGAGTTTGTTTTTACTTGAACGATTTTGTTGAAAATAAATATAAAACCTTAAACAGGTTTAGTGGAACCCATTGACATAACTTGGTTAAGTAAATTCAACGTTTCATTTCTTATACTGTAGCACAGAATACTTAGTTTTTTCACTTTTAGAAAAAGCACAGGCCTCTGCTGGGCTTTTAACCCTGAGGGACTCCATGATGCAGGGCTGGCCCGGTCCAAGTCCATTCCTGCCCAGAACTTCTCCTCAGAGGTGGTGACGCTGTGCTATCGGCCCCCCGATGTCCTGATGGGATCCGTCCACTATTCTACGGCCCTGGACATGTGGTGAGCACCGTTCCGCCGCTGCTCCGCCGCCGCAATCACCCCGCCCCCCCGCCGCCCTGCCGCCGCCCCGCCAGCCCCCGCCGTCGCCCCGCCACCGCCCCGCCCCGCCACCGCCGCCTCATCGATCACTAAAGGTTTCTTTGCATGAATCAGGGGGGCAGGCTGCATCTTCATAGAGATGCTGCAGGGAGCGCCAGCGTTCGCAGGAGGTTCTGATGAGCTGGAGCAGCTGCAGAACATCTGGACGGTCAGTTCAACGAGTTCCGATCGGGTCTGAATCCAGTTCTGATCAGATCCACTTTAAGCGCCACCTTAAAGGCTTTGGTTTTGTTGCGGCCGTGTGTTGGTGGTCTTCTGCAGGTTCTGGGCGTCCCCAGAGGACAGCTGGCCTGGGGTCAGTCTGCTGCCTCATTACACACCACCAGGTGAGCTCATGTGTCCACGTTGACATGCTGAAGGTCCTCCGCATATTAACGTATATTTCTGTTTTCACCTTAGAGTGCTTCATTCACTGCAGGCCGAAGCTTTTTAGAGATGTCTGGAAAAGGTAAGCTAAGCCAATGTCATGACTGCAAGGGCAACAAACTACCAGAATAAAGTTTATTGTCTTTACAGTAAAATATCAAAAAATAAAGGAATTTTTTTCTTCATATTTTGAAACTATAAATTATGGAATCATTTAAGTCATTTATATGATAAAGTGATAGAAAACCTAATGCAGTTTCTTCCTCAGTGAGATTCTGACACTGGGAGCAGGTTACTGGTTCCTCAGTCAGCAGGTGCCAGTCAGGCATGGTAGATCTGAACTTTGACCTCAAAATGAGAGACTTCAGACTGTTAGGAGGAACCCCAGAGCTCCGTCAGGTTAAAGCGCTTCATGTGAAGTTCAGATGTTTTTGCTCCAATAGGATCCAGGGAAGTGAGTTGCTCCTCATTTTCAACAGTGGAGCTATAAAGGTTATCATTTTGGAGAAAGTCTCATCAACATCAACATTTCCACTAAACAAGAGGCGAAAATGAATATCATGTTTGATGGAGGAAAATCCTCAGACTCTGAGCTCAACGCGAGACGCCACTGAGCAGCAAGCTAGTTTTAAAAATATTGAACAACTCATTTAATTTCACATAATTATTCTGGGAAAAGCCATTTGTTTGTTACTTAATGAAATATGTCATATTTTTGTTGTGAATGACTTATACTCACACAGAAACGAGGTCATTAGTTCAAGTTTGCTGTTTATTGATGGTTCAGAAACTCCTGCTGCTGAATGCGCCACAGGTCAACAGGTCAACCTGAACAGGTCAACAGGTCAACCTGAACAGGTCAACAGGTCAACCTGAACAGGTCAACAGGTCAACCTGAACAGGTCAACAGGTCAACCTGAACAGGTCAACAGGTCAACCTGAACAGGTCAACAGGTCAACCTGAACAGGTGATCAAACCCTGAGGACCTTTTGACTCTCTTTGTTGTTTAGCACACCAGTTGCCTTAGTTAAAAACATTCAGTCCATTAGGATATCAGGTTTCCAGGCTTGATATTTATTTAGTGATTATTAGTAAGTGCTCTCTTGAACACAGCAGTGGTTGCTGATTGAAACTCCTGCTCTGATGGTCAGTTGGTCTTTGAGTCCCTTTTTTATTTAGGTAATGAAACTAAAATACACAGAATTGTGCAGCACCTTGAAAGAAAATTACTGAAATTATTACATTTGTTGGGTCATTAATTTGAACACATTTTGTTGATTTTTTTTCTTCAATAAAGGATCTTAGTGATCAGAAGACATGCTGGTTTCAGCTTCCTGGTCACGTTCAGTTTGTCACCTGCTGCTGAGATCAACTCAAAACCTTCCATGATCGATCGATCAATTATTATTGACATATTGAGCACGTCTGAACAAGACAGAGCAAAGAGACATGCATCAGGAAGTAAGCACATGTAGCAACATTGAGATAAAACAGACATGAGTGAAAGGTGACATCACGGAGTGCAACCATTTACTGTTGCATGACCATGAAACCGTGCAGCTCGCTCTCCCAGGCAACAGTCTGATATGATGGTATTATCTCGGAGCAAGTCCTTGGGAGCGCTCTGCTCCACAGTGACATGGACGATTTCAGAAGGGAGCGAGGAGAGCAGGAGCGTCATGTTCACTTATCTTCCTGGAGATCTGAGATATCCAGCCAGCCGAGGCGAACACAGTTCAGATACAGAAAGCTTTAGGTCGGGTAGATGTTACATTTCAATCTGCCTAAAGTCTCACCGATCCATCGGCTCATTCCAATCATCCAAATCAGTGTGGCCGTCCAACTGAACCGAAACAAGCAACTTCTCCAGGATGGATTCCTTCCTGCTAGAGAGTTTTAGAGTCTGCAGCTCGGCTACGAGTCTCAGCAAGAATCGCATCCAACTTGCGTCTCTGATCCACAGCATGTCAGTCTGAGTGTTCGCTAGTCGGCCCAATCCGTCACTAATTTATCGACATGCCAGGTATCCGCCAACTCCAAACAGAGATCCTGTTTGTCATGAATAAACCCAGGATGTTTCCCTCTGGGTGTGTCCTCTGTCCAGGTTTCTCCTCAAGAAAATTTGATCAATTGCGCTGAGAGAGCAGCTGACCAGATCCATTTGTAGATTTGGGGATGAGCAAGAAAGGCTTCAAAAAAAGAGAGGAAAAGACAGAACAAAAACAGGAGGCAGGGCAGCAAGGGAGCAGAGGAAAAAAGTGTTCACCTTCAGCAAGAGCTACAGAGAGAGAAAAAAGCTAAGCCTAAGCTAAAGTCTAAGATTTGGCAGATAAAGTGTTTAATCACCACTGGCTGCGTGTGTCTACTTTCAGGGTTAGGGCTTGGGGGCGTGGCCAAGGGCCTGGGAGATGAAATAGGTGAGAGGAGGGGGACACCCTGGACAGGTGTCTGGACCATCACAGATAAAGACAGGACAATGATGCATGCTAAGGCTGATTTAGAGAGACCATGGCGGGAGGAAGCTGGAGTACCTGGGGAAAATCTGGCATTCCAGGAGACAATATGCTAACTTCTTTTCCTCAGGGTAGGATTGTTGCAAAGATCCTAGGCAGTTGGTATCCTAGTTCTACCAACTGCCTCTCCGTGCTGCCTGCTTGGCGTAAACATCCCAAATGGACCCGGATGAGAGTAGTGCTAAGTTGCTAAATAAAAGCTAATTCTGGGTTTAGATTCTGCACAGTGGCGCAGTGTCCTGGGTTCGATTCTTTCTGCACGGAGTCTGCAGGTTGTCCCTGCATGATGGGTTCTCTCCGGTTCTCCGGCTTCCTCCTGTGAAGTGCACAATTCAGAGACTGAGATCCAGACAAAAGTTAGGGAGCAAAAACAATCTTTAATACATCTGCAGACGGAGAGCAAGAAATATACTGCATTAGGCACAAATTAGGATCCGCTCTGAGGAACCCAGAGTTGCATAGTTACTTTATTCATCTCTCTTTACTACCGAGGCAGAGACTCAATCTTCTAAGACCAAACAAAAGAAACAAAGGAAAACATACGAAACCTTGTATGCTCATTCACTGTAATGTCTATGGGAGGTGAAAACTAAACACTCTATCTCCATGCAGGGAAGGCCACGGGAAAAACAGCGAGTTCCCAAATAACTGTCTGGGGAAGTTCAGCAACCCTGGAAACTTACTGCAGTAGACACATCTTGGTTCATTAGTTTGTACATCGTTTCCAGCTGCACAGAAAAACACCTTGACTGTGATTCAAAAAACATTACATTTATATGACACATAAAGGAACATCATTTAATATGAATAAACTTCTTCACACTCCCACAGTCCAAAACATGACTGTCAGGTTAACTGGTCTCTCCAAATTTCTTGGTGACCTCTCCATGGTGACCCTGCCTCTCGTTCGTTGACAGTTGGAGGCACCAGCACCTTCTGACCCCACAAGGGACACGGGTGTTAGAAGATGGATGGATGGATGATGGATGGATGATTAATGGATGGATGGATGGATGGATGATGGATGGATGGATGATGGATGGATGATGGATGGATGGATGGATGATGGATGGATGATGGATGGATGATGTATGGATGGATGATGGATGATGGATGGATGATGGATGGATGATGATGGATGGATGGATGATGGATGGATGATGGATGGATGATGGATGGATGGATGATGGATGGATGATGGATGGATGGATGATGGATGGATGATGGATGGATGGATGATGGATGATGGATGGATGGATGACGGATGGATGACGGATGGATGATGGATGGATGATGTATGGATGGATGGATGGATGGATGGATGGATGATGGATGGATGATGGATGGATGGAGGATGATGGATGATGGATGGATGATGATGGATGGATGGATGATGGATGGATGATGGATGGATGGATGACGGATGGATGACGGATGGATGATGGATGGATGATGTATGGATGGATGATGGATGATGGATGGATGATGGATGGATGGATGATGGATGGATGATGGATGGATGGAGGATGATGGATGATGGATGGATGATGATGGATGGATGGATGATGGATGGATGATGGATGGATGGATGACGGATGGATGACGGATGGATGATGGATGGATGATGGATGGATGGATGATGGATGGATGATGGATGGATGGAGGATGATGGATGATGGATGGATGATGATGGATGGATGGATGGATGGATGATGGATGGATGATGGATGGATGGATGACGGATGGATGATGGATGGATGATGTATGGATGATGTATGGATGGATGGATGGATGATGGATGGATGATGGATGGATGGATGGATGATGGATGATGGATGGATGATGATGGATGGATGATGGATGGATGGATGACGGATGGATGACGGATGGATGATGGATGGATGATGTATGGATGGATGGATGGATGATGGATGGATGGATGATGGATGATGATGGATGGATGGATGGATGATGGATGATGGATGGATGATGATGGATGGATGGATGATGGATGGATGATTAATGGGTGGATGGATGGATGGATGATGGATGGATGGATGATGGATGGATGATGGATGGATGGATGGATGATGGATGGATGGATGATGGATGGATGATGGATGGATGATGGATGGATGATGTATGGATGGATGATGGATGGATGGATGATGGATGGATGGATGATGGATGGATGGATGATGGATGGATGGATGATGGATGGATGATGGATGGATGGATGATGGATGATGGATGATGGATGGATGGATGATGGATGGATGATGGATGGATGGATGGATGATGGATGATGGATGGATGATGATGGATGGATGATGGATGGATGATGGATGGATGATGGATGGATGGATGACGGATGGATGATGGATGGATGATGTGGGATGATGTATGGATGGATGGATGGATGATGGATGGATGGATGGAGGATGGATGGATGATGGATGATGGGATGGATGATGATGGATGGATGGATGATGGATGGATGATGGATGGATGATGGATGGATGGATGACGGATGGATGACGGATGGATGATGGATGGATGATATATGGA